AGACTAGACTATAGACTAGACTATAGACTAGACTATAGACTAGACTATAGACTAGACTAGACTAGACTATAGACTAGACTATAGACTAGACTATAGACTAGACTATAGACTAGACTATAGACTAGACTATGACTAGACTATAGACTAGACTATAGACTAGACTATAGACTAGACTATAGACTAGACTATAGACTAGACTATAGACTAGACTATAGACTAGACTATAGACTAGACTATAGACTAGACTATAGACTAGACTATAGACTAGACTATAGACTAGACTATTCACTAGACTATAGACTAGACTATTCACTAGACTATAGACTAGACTATTCACTAGACTATAGACTAGACTATTCACTAGACTATAGACTAGACTATTCACTAGACTATAGACTAGACTATAGACTAGACTATGGACTAGACTATAGACTAGACTATAGACTAGACTATAGACTTGACTATAGACTAGACTATAGACTAGACTAAAAAACTAAAGTGTAAGTTTTACTAAAATTGAATCCTTTTAACCCTAAAAACTAAAGTGTAAGTTTTACTAAAATTGAATCCTCAGATATCATATTCTCTAAGAATCGAAATTTCATTGATATGAAACACATGATGACTGCTCTTTCCTTTGAAAATAAGAAATATTACAATTTGAACTTTGATCCTAAAAGTTAAAGTTGAATATTATGCTGATACTAAATCATTAGAACTCATTGAAAATTTACTGCAAGTTTTTAAACAAAAAAAATGAGATTGGCATTAAACAAATTGGAAAAATTTAAATTAGTTTAAAGAAACATCCCTAATATTTAGTAATAACATGTATATTTCTCTCGGCGTAAGTGTCAACATTATTTTAAAAGAAATCTCAAACATGCTAAATATTTGTTGACTTAATAGACGACATGCAGAAAAATTAGAGTGTTGAAAAAGAAAATTTAGCTAACTTCGCTATAAAAAACTGTTTTTGCTTCAAGCCTATTTTTAGAAATACATATATTATAAACTTTTTCTATATAAAATAGTTTCGTAAAAATTCAAAATTTTCCATTTTTAACTTGACTTAAATATAAGTTTTTATGACTTTAACATTTCCTCCCGTCGTAAACTAAAGTGTAGAAAACTTTCATGTTCAAAATTTTATTGTTCACACACTCATGCGATGTTACAGCTGGAGCAGTAGCAGTATATCTATATAGAAACTTATATTAAAATGTTATTTTAGATGATAAAAGACAGCTCAATAAAACTGGAAAATAAATATATTGGAATGTTTTTTGTAAAGAATAGAATAAGAAAAACCTGTCAGTTAACATTAGACATTTAAGAGTTTGAACTGTTATAAATATATGTAGAGAAAAACTATAGACAATTATAGTCGACACTATATTATGAAGGTCCTCTACTAAGTAAACTTCTTCTTCGATTGAGACGATATTAAATTTTAAATAATAACTGAATTTTGATGATAAAGGATTTTATGAAAATTTAAATAATTTTATCTTCCTTTCCAAATAATTTGTTGGTTTTTCCATCTTTAGTGAAAATCTCAGTTAATTGTTATAAAACTTTCCTATAAATTGATTTCAAATAGAAGTCAATTTACATAGTAAATAATCGGTTTAAAATGTACTTATATATATTGAGAGCAGTTCTACACAACTAACCCAATATGTTGCAATGGTTTACAATTGAAATTCAAAATTCATGTAAAAATGTGCAATTATTATAAAACGAAAATAAATTGCGCTCAACTAATGCCCATATATTTCTATGTAAACTATTGAATATATGCCTCATTATTAACCAACATTATTATATAAATATTAAAATTACCCTGCAGTTCTCCTAACAATTCCACCTTCATCAAAAATTCAACAAACTTTAACACTACTTACCTGCCTAAACACTTGCACTGCTTTTTGCAAGCGAATTTAGCACAATCATAATATCAGCTTACAATAAAGCAACTGCTGGGTTATCTACTATACTATTATCTTACAATCTCTACAACCCTATAGTTGTGTTAAAGAGACTTTTCTTATTTTGTGATTTTATACAAGTGTGTTTGTCAAGAATGTTTGTCATTTTAAATATTTATTGCACAACATGTTGCCAAGAGTGACAACCGTCTATACAAAGAGTTTTTCTATTTGAACAATTTTAACAATTGATATCTCTATTATCCTACAAATACTTATAGATTTTTTTCGCAAATAATAAGCACATCTTTGTGTGTGAAATAGAATAAATTCTATAAAACTTTCCATTATTATTGTATTTTATACAAAAAGAGCGGCAGATGGATAACATTGCTAAAACAAATCGAGTGCTTTTGATTCCTTAATTATAATTTCAAGTTTAATACCTATAATCTAGTCTATTGGCTAGTCACTAGCCTAGTCATTATGATATCTGAGGATTCAATTTTAGTAAAACTTACACTTTAGTTTTTAGGGTTAAAAGGATTCAATTTTAGTAAAACTTACACTTTAGTTTTTTAGTCTAGTCTATAGTCTAGTCTATAGTCAAGTCTATAGTCTAGTCTATAGTCTAGTCTATAGTCTAGTCCATAGTCTAGTCTATAGTCTAGTCTATAGTCTAGTGAATAGTCTAGTCTATAGTCTAGTGAATAGTCTAGTCTATAGTCTAGTGAATAGTCTAGTCTATAGTCTAGTGAATAGTCTAGTCTATAGTCTAGTGAATAGTCTAGTCTATAGTCTAGTCTATAGTCTAGTCTATAGTCTAGTCTATAGTCTAGTCTATAGTCTAGTCTATAGTCTAGTCTATAGTCTAGTCTATAGTCTAGTCTATAGTCTAGTCTATAGTCTAGTCTATAGTCAATCTATAGTCTAGTCTATAGTCTAGTCTAGTCTAGTCTAGTCTATAGTCTAGTCTAGTCTAGTCTAATCTAGTCTAGTCTAGTCTAGTCTAATCTAGTCTAGTCTATAGTCTAGTCTAGTCTAGTCTAATCTATAGTCTAGTCTAGTCTATAGTCTAGTCTATAGTCTAGTCTATAGTCTAGTCTATAGTCTAGTCTATAGTCTAGTCTATAGTCTAGTCTATAGTCTAGTCTATAGTCTAGTCTATAGTCTAGTCTATAGTCTAGTCTATAGTCTAGTCTATAGTCTAGTCTATAGTCTAGTCTATAGTCTAGTCTATAGTCTAGTCTATAGTCTAGTATATAGTCTAGTCTATAGTCTAGTCTATAGTCTAGTCTATAGTCTAGTCTATAGTCTAGTCTATAGTCTAGTCTATAGTCTAGTCTATAGTCTAGTCTATAGTCTAGTCTATAGTCTAGTCTATAGTCTAGTCTATAGTCTAGTCTATAGTCTAGTCTATAGTCTAGTCTATAGTCTAGTCTATAGTCTAGTCTATAGTCTAGTCTATAGTCTAGTCTATAGTCTAGTCTATAGTCTAGTCTATAGTCTAGTCTATAGTCTAGTCTATAGTCTAGTCTATAGTCTAGTCTATAGTCTAGTCTATAGTCTAGTCTATAGTCTAGTCTATAGTCTAGTCTATAGTCTAGTCTATAGTCTAGTCTATAGTCTAGTCTATAGTCTAGTCTATAGTCTAGTCTATAGTCTAGTCTATAGTCTAGTCTATAGTCTAGTCTATAGTCTAGTCTATAGTCTAGTCTATAGTCTAGTCTATAGTCTAGTCTATAGTCTAGTCTATAGTCTAGTCTATAGTCTAGTCTATAGTCTAGTCTATAGTCTAGTCTATAGTCTAGTCTATAGTCTAGTCTATAGTCTAGTCTATAGTCTAGTCTATAGTCTAGTCTATAGTCTAGTCTATAGTCTAGTCTATAGTCTAGTCTATAGTCTAGTCTATAGTCTAGTCTATAGTCTAGTCTATAGTCTAGTCTATAGTCTAGTCTATAGTCTAGTCTATAGTCTAGTCTATAGTCTAGTCTATAGTCTAGTCTATAGTCTAGTCTATAGTCTAGTCTATAGTCTAGTCTATAGTCTAGTCTATAGTCTAGTCTATAGTCTAGTCTATAGTCTAGTCTATAGTATAGTCTATAGTCTAGTCTATAGTCTAGTCTATAGTCTAGTCTATAGTCTAGTCTATAGTCTAGTCTATAGTCTAGTCTATAGTCTAGTCTATAGTCTAGTCTATAGTCTAGTCTATAGTCTAGTCTATAGTCTAGTCTATAGTCTAGTCTATAGTCTAGTCTATAGTCTAGTCTATAGTCTAGTCTATAGTCTAGTCTATAGTCTAGTCTATAGTCTAGTCTATAGTCTAGTCTATAGTCTAGTACTAGTCTATAGTCTAGTCTATAGTCTAGTCTATAGTCTAGTCTATAGTCTAGTCTATAGTCTAGTCTATAGTCTAGTCTAGTAGTCTAGTCTATAGTCTTGTCTATAGTGTTTTCTATAGTCTTGTCTATAGTCTTGTCTATAGTCCTGCTCTATAGTATAATCTATAGTCCTAGTCTAGACTATACTATTATTCTTCGTTGTAGTCTGGACTAGGGTCTGAACTATTCTAGGCAATAGTGAACTATATGGCCAGCACTCTTGATTCTTGAGTAGACTGTAGTCTAGTCCATAGTCTTACATATCGTCTTGTTTAGACTATGTATGTCCCATTGTTTACAGTATCGACTACTGTCAGGTCTGGTCTATAATCGAGTATTTAGTTTTGACTTATGTCTAGAGTTTCTCCTATAGTCTGGAATATAGGTATAGTCCTAGTCTCCAATTCTATAGTCTGGTATGGTCTAGTTCTTAGTGAATTAGCTTTTATTATTGTGCTGAACTAAATTACTGAGATTCATATTGTCTATAGCCAGAATAGAAAATATTGTTTTCTACCCTTCGAAATTCAAGTTTTTTATTGTGCAAAACTAAATTAATGAATCTACTTTTAAACTTAAAACATTTTATATTTTGAATTAAATCTTTAATAAAATTGTATATTCATCTTTAAAACAGTTTTAATTAACATTTTGCGTTTTTTCTTCTTCTGTTTTTTATTATTTACAGAGTCCGTGTGGAATACTATGTTAATGAAAATACATTCAAAGAAAGACTGCAACTATACTTCATTAAGAATCAGAGATCAAGTAAGTAAATATAATAATCATATTTAACAAGGACATTGACGTAGAGCATAAAAAATGCTTAGAATTTTAACAAAACTTAAATTAGTATTTTCTTTTTAATTTTGCTTATAACATGTTTTTATTGTTTAATAAAGTTTAATATGGGACTTAATCAGTTCCATAAACCAGATTTTAATTCGTCAAAAAATAATAGAATATTTTCATTCTTAGTTCAATTTTTTTTTGGCAGTTTTTCTCATTTGGGTCATTTTGTCGATACCCTGTATAATTTTACTAACTAAACAAGAAGAAATTAACTAAAGTAAATAAAAACTGCCAAACAAAAAAGGAATACAGATATATTTTATCTATGTATGTATATGTATGTGTGGAAAAAGGAAAACAGGAGTAAAATAATAAACAGTGTAAACAAATACATACATAGTTGTGTAAATATATATAAATAAATATTTACCCAGTAAATCATGTAATTTTATTATAAAACTTACTTTACTACTAACAATGCTGATGGTGGTCACACTGTACAAATATTAAACACAATACATGTGGAAATTTATAGAAAATAATTAATTTAAAATATAAAATAAAACATTTTAAATCATAACATGTTTTAATAATAACAAATCACAAAAAAATAACTAAACATCAAAAATACACTTCCTAGAAACAAAACCAACTTATTGCGTCAAATATTTGAAAAATTTAAAAATAACCCAGTTAATACCCAGATATTGCTATAAACTAGATATTAATTTGCTAGAAAACTTCTCTTTCAATGTTAAAATTTGTTTACTGGGTATGGGCAAAAACACACACAGTTGTCGAGAAATCAGTTTTTATATTCAAGCTATTCAAGTGTTCTTTTTTTCTTTTCGAATCTGCCGTTTTAAATACACATGTGTCGATACATTTATGTATAGGTTTTTCTAAATAGATAAATTATGTACATTCATCGGCCAGCACGTGTCATAAACAATTATGCTGTTTTCTTTAGTTCTTAGGCAGTTATCAAAACATTTTTCAATGTAATTTGCCACAAAGAGAATAAAATAAATTCTAAATTAAACCTGGAAAAAATAATAATTATTTTGTTACAAAAACAAAATCAAATAAAACATAATACTAACTTACACCACGCACTTCAAATTACTGAGAATATTATTAACTGGGAGCTTCCTTAAGAGTTGATATTACAGACCAGACTATAGTTCAGACACTGAATAGACTATAGTCTAGACTATAGACTAGTCCAAACTATAGACTAGACTATAGTTCAGACAACTGAATAGACTATAGTCCAGACTATAGACTATAGCATAGACTAAAAACTTTATTTTAGTCCAGATTACAGGCTAGACTATAGTCCAGACTATAGACTAGACTATAGTCCAGACTATATATACTAGAGTCCAGACTATTGACTAGACTAAAGTCCAGGCTATGGACCAGATTATAGTCGAGACTATAGACTAGACTATAGACTAGACTATAGACTAGACTAACTATGACTAGACTATACTAGACTATAGACTAGACTATAGACTAGACTTAGACTAGACTATAGACTAGACTATAGACTAGACTATAGACTAGACTATAGACTAGACTATAGACTAGACTATAGACTAGACTATAGACTAGACTATAGACTAGACTATAGACTAGACTATAGACTAGACTATAGACTAGACTATAGATCTAGACTATAGACTAGGACTATAGACTAGACTATAGACTAGACTATAGACTATAGACTAGACTATAGACTAGACTATAGACTAGACTATAGACTAGACTATAGACTAGACTATAGACTAGACTATAGACTAGACTATAGACTAGACTATAGACTAGACTATAGACTAGACTATAGACTAGACTATAGACTAGACTATAGACTAGACTATAGACTAGACTATAGACTAGACTATAGACTAGACTATAGACTAGACTATAGACTAGACTATAGACTAGACTATAGACTAGACTATAGACTAGACTATAGACTAGACTATAGACTAGACTATAGACTAGACTATAGACTAGACTAGACTAGACTATAGACTAGACTATAGACTAGACTATAGACTAGACTAGACTAGACTATAGACTAGACTATAGCCTAGACTATAGACTAGACTAGACTATAGACTAGACTATAGACGAGACTATAGACTAGAATATAGACTAGACTAGACTATAGACTAGACTATAGACTAGACTATAGACTAGACTATAGACTAGACTATAGACTAGACTATAGACTAGACTATAGACTAGACTATAGACTAGACTATAGACTAGACTATAGACTAGACTATAGACTAGACTATAGACTAGACTATAGACTAGACTATAGACTAGACTATAGACTAGACTATAGACTAGACTATAGACTAGACTATAGACTAGACTATAGACTAGACTATAGACTAGACTATAGACTAGACTATAGACTAGACTATAGACTAGACTATAGACTAGACTATAGACTAGACTATAGACTAGACTATAGACTAGACTATAGACTAGACTATAGACTAGACTATAGACTAGACTATAGACTAGACTATAGACTAGACTAGACTAGACTATAGACTAGACTATAGACTAGACTATAGACTAGACTATAGACTAGACTATAGACTAGACTATAGACTAGACTATAGACTAGACTATAGACTAGACTATAGACTAGACTATAGACTAGACTATAGACTAGACTATAGACTAGACTATAGACTAGACTATAGACTAGACTATAGACTAGACTATAGACTAGACTATAGACTAGACTATAGACTAGACTATAGACTAGACTATAGACTAGACTATAGACTAGACTATAGACTAGACTATAGACTAGACTATAGACTAGACTATAGACTAGACTATAGACTAGACTATAGACTAGACTATAGACTAGACTATAGACTAGACTATAGACTAGACTATAGACTAGACTATAGACTAGACTATAGACTAGACTATAGACTAGACTATAGACTAGACTAGACTAGATTAAACAAGACTAGACTAGACTAGAAGACTGGACTATAGATATACAGATATACTGTTTAATCTGTAACCTGGGAGGGCTTTTGTCTATATTTTGGACTATAGTCTAGTCTATAGTCTGGGCTATAGTCTAGTTTATAGTTTGGACTATAGTCTAGTCTATAGTTTGGACTATAGTCTAGTCTATAGTTTGGACTATAGCCTAGTCTATAGCTTTGGTTTGGACTACATTATTATTGGACTATATAGTTTAGTCTATAGTCTAGACTTAGCTATTGCCCAGGCTATAGACTACACCATATTTTAGACTATAGACATGATTATATTTAAGACTATAGTCAAGATTAAAATCAAGACTATAGGCCAGACCAGGCTACCGATTAAACTGTATTACAGAATATAGCCCACACTAAAGACTAGGATATAGTCCAGATTATGGACTAGACTATAGTCCCGTCTAAAAACTAACGTTCACTTCACAGACTTATTAATGTTTTGTCAAGAAAAGGCACGCTCTTTACGAATTTTTTTATATAAAAATCGATATTTTTTTGAGATTTGTAGGGTTCGATTACTTTTTGCAATTCTATTAATTTATTTTTTTTTTTCTGCAAAATTCTTTCATCAACAGGTTTACGAATACGTATAGCTGATTTATTTTTTAAATTATTAGCTTGTGTTTTGTATATTTTACGTGTGATAACGGATACAAATCCAACATATGCCACATGGTAAGTGGGTTAACAAAGAAATCTCTTTATGTTTTCACTTTTTAAACCTTAATATTTGTTTAAACATTTTCCAGTTATGGCTGTAATGTTAGTAATAAAACAGAATTTTTAGCTTCAGCAGAATTAACTGAAGAGGAATTTCAAGAGAATCCCATTATCAATTGGGAGGCGATATTGTGGGTAAATCGTGCCACTGTCTTATGGGCTGTTCAATTAATTTTAGCATTAGTTTCACTAACAGAAGCCGTTCTTTTAACATATCTTGGCTATAAGGTAAGTTTAAGGAAAACTGTTGGGGAAAACTGCATACTAAAGGGATCCACTTTATGTACATTGTACAGTGTACATAGATTTATCGGATGTCCAAACGATTTGTGTACACACACATACATATCGACTTTTATATGTCATGTGTATGTGTCCCTGTATGTTTGCTTAGTTTTAATTGTTTTTCTTTAATTTATTTTGTCTATTTTTTTATTCTTGTATTTTTAACATGTTTTCTTCTTATTCTTTTGTATTTTCCTCAATATTACTGTATCTAGGGAAATATATGGCAACAAATCCTGTCATTTCATTTTATATTAGAATTAATTACGACAATACCTTTTGCATTAACGGTAAGCTATTGTGGGAGACCATTCTTTAAAAATAAAATTTTATTCTAAAAATAATTACAAATTTTAACTTTGATTTTTTAGCAACTAGGATTTTTAATAATAAACTTTTAATTATATTTCTTTCATTTTATTCCATTACCATTTAGATACTATGGCCGCCTTTAAGAAATTTATTTATACCCATATTCCTAAATTGCTGGTTAGCAAAACGTTCTCTCGAGAACATGTTCGTAAGTATTGTTTTTTGCTCAACAGTTAATTGCTTAAGAATTTTATATCATCAAAACACTTTCATGTTTTTCACTGTGTAATTATTTAGAACGATTTACATCGTGCCATGCAAAAATCACAGTCCGCCTTGTCACAACAATTGACAATACTGTCAGCCACACTGCTGTGTTTAGTTTTTACGAGGTGAGTAAATAAAAATAAATGTGTCTATGTATTAGGGTGTCCACTTTTTACTTAGTTGGGAAAATTTGTATAATTGATCGGAGCAAATTTCATACCATACTTTGGACGATAGACTTGAATCAAGATAATAAATCAGAACATCGACCAGATTAAATACCCGACTATAGACCAGACCATATACAAGATAATAAACCAGACTATATACCTGACAGTAGAGACTAACACTGGTCTATACACTATACTCAAGGTAATACACTATACAATATAATAGATTATAGACCGGACTATATACCTGATTATATACCAGAATATATACCAGACATTAAACCACACCATATATCAGAATATAGACCAGACTATATATACTTAGACCAAACAATAGACCAAACTATTAAAAAGATTACAGAATATACAATGTTCCAAAGTATATACAGACTATAGACCAGACTATAGACTAGATTATAGACTAGACTATAGGCCAGACTATAGACCAGACTATATACCAGACCATAGAACATATAATATACCAGACTATAGACAAGAATTTATATTAGACTATAGACCAGACTACATACCAGATAATATACCAGACTGTATACCAGTCCACAGACCAGATAATGTACCAGACCAAAGACCAGATAACATAGCAGACTATAGACCAGATAATATAGCAGACTATAGAACAGACTATATGTATACCAGACTATAGAATTGATTGTAAAATATATATATTAAAGGCTATACGTTGGACTATTGGCAAGACTATAGTCCAAACTATAGACAGGACTATAATCAAAACGGAATATAGACTAAAAATTAGTAACGACTGTAGACTAGACTAAAGTTCAGACTATAACTAAGCTATACTTTGGACTTTAAGAAGACTATTTTTCAGACTATAGACAAGAGCATAGTCGAGACTTTAGACAACACTACATACCAGATTGTAGACTATTGTCCGGACTATAGACTTATCTACATTACAGTCCAGACAATACCGCAGATCATGGACTAGATTATAGTCTATAGTAGTGTATACTATAGTCCGAACTATTCACAAGACTATAATCCAAACTATAGACTGGACTATAATCCAGAATGTAGGCTGGACTACTGTCCAGACTATGGACTAGACTAAAGTCCAGACTATAGACTAGACTATAGGTCAGACTATAGATTAGGTTATAGACCAGACTAGAGACTAAACTATAGTTCAGAATATAGACTAGACTATAGTCCAGGCTATAGACTATACTATAATTCATACTATAGACTTGACTATTGTTAGACTGTGGACTAGACTAGGCTATAGTCCAGACTATAGACTAAACTATAGTCCAGACTGTAGACTAGACTATAGTCCAGACTATAGACTAGACTAAAGTCCAAACTATAGAGTAGACTATAGTCCAGACTATAGACTGTACTATAGTCCTGACTATAGACTAGACTATATTCCAGACTATAGAATAGACTTTAGTCCAGACTATAGAATAGACTTTAGTCCAGACTATAGACTAGACTATAGTCCAGACTATAGACTACACTATAGTCCAGACTATAGACTAGACTATAGTCCAGACTATAGACTAAACTATAGTCCAGACTATAGACTGGACTATAGTCCAGATTATAGACTACACTATAGTCCAGACTATAGACTACACTATAGTCCAGACTATAGACTACACTATAGTCCAGACTATAGACTACACTATAGTCCAGTCTATAGACTACACTATAGTCCAGACTATAGGTTAGACTATAGTCCAGACTAATAGTCCAAACTATAGACTAGACTATAGTCCAGACTATAGGCTAGACTATAGTCCAGACTATAGACTACACTATAGTCCAGACTATAGACTAGACTATAGTCCAGACTATAGACTACACTATAGTCCAGACTATAGACTACACTATAGTCCAGACTATAGACTAGACTATAGTCCAGTCTATAGACTACACTATAGTCCAGACTATAGACTACACTATAGTCCAGGCTATAGACTACACTATAGTCCAGTCTATAGACTACACTATATCCAGACTATAGACAACACTGTAGTCCAGACTATGGACTAGACTATAGTCCAGACTATGGACTAGACTATAGTCCAGACAATAGACTAGACTATGTTCAGACTATAACTAGGCTATAGTGCCGTTCAGTCTACAATTTGTCTGCCGAATGTTTATTATTTACTTATTAAATTCTTTTAAATCTTTTTAATATTTTAATTTTTCTCTTTCTTTCCCCTACACTCCCAATTAAAGTGTTTGTGGCATACAACATTTTCAACGTGCCGGGCATCGCCATTTGAATTTATTTCAATCAACTTATTATGTGGTTGTCACCTTTTCAACAGTTGGTTACGGTGATTTTGTACCCGATATCTGGCCTTCACAATTATACATGGTCATAATGATATGTGTGGCGTTAATTGTATTACCAACACAGGTATAGTAGTAATCATAAGCATACATACATAAGCATACATAAATATTTATAACTTACATATAGAAGAAAAATATAATTGAATATTTGTGTGTGTATTATAACAGATATTTATATAACTAGGGATGTAGCTATAGCTGCTATATTCTTTTTCCTTTTTATATGACATAAAAAGCTAAAACAACAATTTATTTCAAATCTAAAATTTATACAAACAAAACGAAAAATGTTAAAAATTTGACAAGCAAATGTACAGAGTAGTTGAGTAAAAGTATAAAAATGTCTTTGCCATAACCATCATGATTAAAATTGCTTTTCTAGGTCAAGTAAACCCAGAGGGTGGTTTATTAACTTTTAAAAGTCTGCTGGTATATTAAAGTACCTTTTTGACATTTGTTTTGGACTTGCAACGAATTTAAGTAAAATGTGTAGACTTCGGTATAATTTTAAATTTAACAACTTTTACATGATTTAGAATTTAAATATTTTCGGTATAAAAGTTTTATATGGATCCAGTTTCTTCTTCTGTGTCTTTGGCATTGATTTCATTTTAAAAGAGTTTTAGATTCAGAACAACCTTTTAATTGTTTTTATCTCATCTTTGAAAGTTTCGTCTTTGTTATACTGATGATTGTAAAGAAAATACTTGAAAATAAGTTTTTTTTCAGTTATTCCATAATAATTTTACTTCTTTTTTGTAAAAATTCTTTCACCCACAGTTTGAACAGTTGGCCTTCACTTGGATGGAACGTCAAAAATTAGGTGGCAGTTATTCATCGCATCGTGCCCAAAGTGAAAAACATGTTGTCGTTTGTTCAACGACACTACACGCGGACACTATAATGGATTTTCTTAATGAATTTTATGCTCATCCTTTGTTGCAAGATTACTATGTTGTCCTATTGAGTCCCATGGAATTGGATACGACAATGCGTATGATACTACAGGTGCCCATATGGGCACAGCGAGTTATTTATATACAGGTAAGCGAGATGAAAGAAGATGCTGGAAATTGAAATACTTTCTTTTTGGCGCAATTAAAGTATTAAGTAAATCCTTAAATAGAGGCAAATTTTTATTTGCCTGTTTGTGGTTCATTTGTCTGTTGTCCCGGCTTTTCATTGCAGTTAAACAATCTCTTTTTTCATTTGTCGACAATTCATGCCTTAAATTAATCTGTTTATGTGGTTTTTATTCCATATTTTATTTTTTTTTTATTTCTGCTACAATAGGGATCCTGTTTAAAGGATGGCGATTTAGCACGAGCACGCATGAATGAGGCTGAGGCATGCTTTATTTTAGCCGCACGCAATTATGCCGATAAGACTGCTGCCGATGAGCACACCATTTTACGTTCATGGGCTGTTAAAGATTTTGCACCCAGTGTACCGCAATATGTACAAATCTTTAGGTGAGTCTCACATTAAGATAAGTCTAAACTATAGACTAGAATTAGGCAAGAATATAGACTAGACTAAAGACTACTATACCCTAGACTTAGACAGGAATATACACTAGAATAAAGATTAATATAGACTAGAACTATAAACTAGACTAAACTATAACATAGACTATAAACTAAACTATGACTAAACTAAACTATACTATAGACTAGACTAGACTAGACTATAGACTAGACTATAGACTAGACTATAGACTAGACTATAGACTAGACTATAGACTAGACTATAGACTAGACTATAGACTATAGACTAGACTATAGACTAGACTATAGACCAGACTATAGACCAGACTATAGACTAGACTATAGACTAGACTATAGACTAGACTATAGACTAGACTATAGACTAGACTATAGACCAGACTATAGACCAGACTATAGACTAGACTATAGACTAGACTATAGACTAGACTATAGACTAGACTATAGACTAGACTATAGACTAGACTATAGACTAGACTATAGACTAGACTATAGACTAGACTATAGACTAGACTATAGACTAGACTATAGACTAGACTATAGACTAGACTATAGACTAGACTATAGACTAGACTATAGACTAGACTATAGACTAGACTATAGACTAGACTATAGACTAGACTATAGACTAGACTATAGACTAGACTATAGACTAGACTATAGACTAGACTATAGACTAGACTATAGACTAGACTATAGACTAGACTATAGACTAGACTATAGACTAGACTATAGACTAGACTATAGACTAGACTATAGACTAGACTATAGACTAGACTATAGACTAGACTATAGACTAGACTATAGACTAGACTATAGACTAGACTATAGACTAGACTATAGACTAGACTATAGACTAGACTATAGACTAGACTATAGACTAGACTATAGACTAGACTATAGACTAGACTATAGGACTAGACTATAGACTAGACTATAGACTAGACTATAGACTAGACTATAGACTAGACTATAGACTAGACTATACTAGACTATAGACGACTATAGACTAGACTATAGACTAGACTATAGACTAGACTAGACTAGACTATAGACTAGACTATAGACTAGACTATAGACTAGACTATAGACTAGACTATAGACTAGACTATAGACTAGACTATAGACTAGACTATAGACTAGACTATAGACTAGACTATAGACTAGACTATAGACTAGACTATAGACTAGACTATAGACTAGACTATACGAACTAGACTACTATAGACTAGACTATAGACTAGACTATAGACTAGACTATAGACTAGACTATAGACTAGACCTATAGACTAGACTATAGACTAGACTATAGACTAGACTATAGACTAGACTATAGACTAGACTATAGACTAGACTATAGACTAGACTATAGACTAGACTATAGACTAGACTATAGACTAGACTATAGACTAGACTATAGACTAGACTATAGACTAGACTATAGACTAGACTATAGAACTAGACTATAGACTAGACTATAGACTAACGATAGACTAGACTATAGACTAGACTATAGACTAGACTATAGACTAGACTAATAGACTAGACTATAGACTAGACTATAGACTAGACTATAGACTAGACTATAGACTAGACTATAGACTAGACTATAGACTAGACTATAGACTAGACTATAGACTAGACTATAGACTAGACTTTAAACTAATTTGTAGTTTATAATTACATGTTTTATAATTAACTTATTTATTATTCAATTAATTTTTCTCTTTTTTCCATTGCAGACCCGAACACAAGTTACATGTTAAATTCGCCGAACATGTTGTGTGTGAAGATGAATTTAAATATGCTTTGTTGGCCAATAATTGTACATGTCCTGGTGCCAGTACATTAGTTACATTACTCTTGCATACATCAAGGGGCCAGTAAGTAATATATCATATACACAAACACTAAAATATCTACATATGTATATATGTAAGTAAGTTTGAACACATGTTTGTAAACAAACTGAAACCTAAATAAATAACAAAATACGTAGGGGAAAGTAAGCAGTTAGATTTAACTAATAATGCTCATAATCCCCAACATGCGGTGAGTTAAGTAAACGTTTTCACATTGAGGTTTGGGGTGGCTTAAAACTAACTAACCAACTTGACCAAATAGTTAAGCTGCCAAAGGATTAGAATAACAATTCACTAATACAGTAGGAAGCGTACTTTTGTGTAAACGCTGTAACATGTATAGCTACACTTAAGGGTATAGAGAAAATTAGCTGGGCTAATGACAACTATAGGTATTTACAACTACATTACGAATGAATGTTTTCAAAAGTAAATTGTTTTTTGTGCACTTTAAGGAGTAGCTATTTGGCTGTAGGGTATCATATACCAGGCTATGGCCATTTTTATTTGCTTGCTTAGTTTTTACGTACAAAACTAAGCTCCGTGTAGTATAAACAACTCTCTGTAGGTTCTTTTGGTTAAAAAATATTTGCATTTCAAACCATTTACTTAATTTGGTTTTGGACTACTAAAATGTACAGAAATTAATGTTATAGCATTTTCCTGTCTGTTTACCCTTTTTGTCTTTACCACATTTTTGGAAACTACATTATGTTAATTCAAATTTTATGTAAATTTCTTGTAGTACATGTCCTTGTAGAACTGACTGATTAAGTATTTGGTTAGTCTGTTACCTTTTGATAAATTACATGTTCCCATAATGTTAAATAGTGTGGAAATGTATCATATTCTAACTAGTTAGTAACTCAATCTACTTTACAAGTAAATTATTTAGCAGATTTTGAAATGTAAATTAATGTGAGCAGAAAGAATTGGACATTCATAAAATTGTGAGGGGAAATTTTTTTGACTGACGTTACTATTTTAAAAGTATAAGCTTTATTTTCATTTATAGAAAATAATCGATGAAAATGTACTACAAAGAGTGAAATTTTCTTTAGCAAATATTGCTTTAGAAAAGTTAACTATAGAAAAGCTTTCCCTAGAAAAGTTATCTGAGAAAATTTTTCTTTATAAAAAAACGTTCTTTAGAAAAGCTTAATATAGAAAAGTTTCATTAGAAAAGCTTTCTTAAGATTTTTTTCAGAAAAGTTTTCTTTAGAACAATTTACTTAGAAAAGCTTTATTTAATAGTCTTCTTTAGAAAAAGTTCCCTTAGAAAATATTTCCATAAAAATTTTATATTAGAAAAGCATTCTTTACAAAGGTTTTCTCTACAAAAGCTTATTTTAGAAAAGCTTCTTAAAAGTTTTCTATGAAAAAGCATTCTTCGGAAAATTGTTCTTTAGAAAAGATTACTTAAGAAAAGCTTTCTTTGAAAACTTTTCTTCCACAAATGTTCATTAGAACAATTTACTTTAAAGAAAAGCTTTCTTTAGAAAAGATTAACTTAGGAAATATTTCTGTAGAAAAGCTTTCTTTACAAAAGATTTCCCTACAAAAGTTTATTTTATAAAAGTTTTCTTTTTAAAAGTTTTCTATGAAAAAATTTTCTTCTGAAAAAATACTTTAGAAAAGTCTTTCTTTACAAGTTTTCTTTAGAAAAGATTTCCTTAGAAAATATTTTTATAGAAAGGTTTATATTAGAAATGCTTTCTTTACAATAGTATTCTCTACAAAAGTTTATTTTAAGAAAAAATTTTCTATGAAAAAACTTTCTTTGGAAAACTATTCTTCCGAAAAGATTACTTTATAAAACTTTCTTTGAAAAGTTTTCATTAGAACAAGTTTTCTTTTAAACAATTTACGTTAGAAAAGCTTTCTTTAAAAGTCTTCTTTAGAGAAGATTTTCTTAGGAAATATTTCTATTGAAAAGTTTATATTAGAAAAGCTTTTTTTACAAAATTTGTCTCTACAAAAGTTTATTTTAGAAAAGCTTTCTTTTAAAAAGCTTTCTATAAAAAACTTTCTTCGGAAAATTATTTTTCGGAAAAGATTACTTTAGAAAAGCTTTTTTTGAAAAGTTTTCTTCATAAAACTTTTATTTACAACAATTTACTTTAGAAAAGCTTTATTTACAAGTATTTAGAAAATATTTCTTAGAAAAGTTTATATTAGAAAAGTTTTCTTTAAAAAAAGTTTTCCCCATAAAATTTTATTTTAGAAAAGCTTTCTTTTCAAAAGTTTTCTATGAAAAAACTCGCTTCGGAAAAGTGTTCTTCAAAAAGATTACTTTAGAAAAGCTTTCTTTTTAAAAGTTTTCTTCAGAAAAGTTTTCATTAGAAAAAGTTTTCTTTAGAAAAGTTAGGAAATATTTCTATTGAAAAGTTTATATTAGAAGAGCTTTCTTCAAAAAATGTCTCTCTAGAAAAGTTTATTTTAGAAAAGCTTTCTTTTAAAAAGCCTTCTATAAAAAACTTTCTTCGTTAAATTATTCTTCCAAAAAGATTACTTTAGAAAAGCTTTATTTGAAATAAAATAATTTATATTTTATATTTAAAATAATTTACTTTAGAAAAGCTTTCTTTAAAAGTCTTCTTTAAAAAATATTTCTACAGAAAAGTTTATATTAGAAAAGCTTCCTTTAAAAAAGTTTTCCCTATAAAATTTTATATTAGAAAAGCTTTCTTTTTAAAAGTTTTCTATCAAAAAACTCTCTTCAGAAAAGTGTTCTTCAAAAAAGCTTTCTTTTGAAAAGTTTTCTTCAGAAAAGTTTTCATTAGAGCAAGTTTTCTTTTGAAAAGTTTTCATTAGAACAAGTTTTCTTTTGAAAAGTTTTCATTAGAACAAGTTTTCTTTAGAAAAGTTTTCAAGTGAACAATTTACTTAAGGAAAGCTTTCTTTAGAAAAGATTTATATAGAAAAGATTATATTAGGAAGCTTCCTTTTAGAAAAACTTTCGTTTGAAAAGTTTTCTTTAGATAAGTTTACTTCAGAAAAGTTTTCTTTAGAAATACTTTCTTCCAGAAAAGTTTTCTTTAGAAAAGCTTTTCTTTAGGAAGGTTTTCATTAGAAAATTTTCTTTTTATGGAAAATTTTCGATAAAAATTTTCTTTTATGGAAAATTTTCGATAAAAATTTTCTTTTATGGAAAATTTTCGATAAAAATTTTCTTTTATGGAAAATTTTCGATAAAAATTTTCTTTTATGGAAAATTTTCGATAAAAATTTTCTTTTTATAAAAAAATTTTTGACAAAAAATTTCTTTTTATAAAAAATTTTCGACAAAAAAATTCCTTTTATAGAAAATTTTCGACAAAAAAATTCTTTTTATAGAAAATTTTCGACAAAAAAATTCCTTTTATAGAAAATTTTCGACAAAAATTTTCTTTTTATAGAAAATTTTCGATAAAAATTTTATTTTTTAATAGAAACTTTTATAAATTTTCTTTTTAAATTTTCTTTTTTTCTTTGATTTAATATTGATTTCTTCTCCTATCTGTAGGGAAGGTCAACAATCACCCGAGGAATGGCATCGTCTCTATGGCAAATGTTCTGGCAATGAAATCTATCATATAGTTTTAGGTGATAGTCGCTTTTTCGGAGAATATGAAGGAAAAAGTTTCACTTATGCTAGCTTTCATTCACATCGAAAGTGAGTTAATAAAGCGAAAACATAAACATTTACAACCAAACTTTACTTAATAACCATTTTCACTTTATTATAATTTTTACATCAAAACCTTGAACATTACAGGTATGGTGTGGCTTTAGTTGGTGTAAGACCAGCACAATTGCCAGAATTCTATGAAGACACCATACTGCTGAATCCCGGTCCGCGGCATATTATGAAAAAAGATGATACATGCTATTATATGAGCATAACGAAAGAGGAAAATTCTGCATTTGTCGTTAATCAAAATCAACAAAATCAAAATGCAGATCCAGCAACGGGTAAAGATGGTGGTGGTAAGTAAGATAATAAACAAGAAACTAAAAAAAAAAAATAAAGAATATCAATACAAAACAACCATAAAAACTGGCAAAGTTTATAAAGAGAAAAGTAAAAAATGGAAGAAGATAATAATTAAATACGTTATGCATATGATTATTATTAAAAAAAAGTTTTTGTGTGTGATTTTAATAATTTTTTGTTCTCGTTTCTGTTCTCTATTTTTATGATTTTGTCTTGAGTTATTTTTTTCCCAATATAAATAGAAATATTTATAAAAAGCGCGATTTCTAATACAAACACCATTTATATACTACTTCTATTAATACTATTACTTCTACTCTTACTTGTCATCATTATTATAAATCTATGCTTTTGTGCTGTGTCTGTCTGTTTGTAAGTTTGTGGCTATGTGTGCGTGTGTCACTACTACTTTGTTTCTGTAAAAATACATATTTCTCTGACTGTATGACATTCGCGTGTTATAATTTTAATTTGTTTTCTTTTTTTTACTTTATTGCTGTAATCAATATAAATGAATTTTATTTTCTGTAAAAACATGAAATTATCCCTTTTTAATGCAGGAGTATGTACGGTTTTAAATTGGTTTGTATTTAATAAACTTGTACAAAACAAGTTTAATTTAATTAGAATTTCCTGTAAATAATTTTAAGCACGAAATCTGTTGACAATCATGTGTTACACTTTTCTTTAGATATGATTTCAACGGAAAATTTACTTTCTTTCAATGAAAACCATTTCTCAATAGAAATTTTGTCAGCTTAAAGAAAACTGAAAAAATTTTCTCCACTTTTGTAGTGAAAAATTTTGAACGAAAAAAAATATTTCAATAGAATGAGAAAACTTTTTCAGAAAAAGCTTTTTAGAGCATTTTTTTAGGAAAATTTTCCATAGAATGTTATCCTAGAGTAAACATGCCTAAAGTAAATTTCTTTAACGAAAGCTTTTGAAAAAACAAACCTTTCTAAATTATTATAAAAAGGACTTTAGTATAAAGTTTATAAAGAAAACTTTTTGAACAAAAACTCTTTCCAAAAGCTCCTCTAAAGGAAACGCTTATAGTGAAAACTTTTTAAAGAAAGCTTTTCTAAAGCCAACGTTTTTAACGAACTTTTCAAGGTTAACTTTTTAGGAAAAACTTTCCTAAAAACATTCTACTGAAAGCTCTTCCAATGAAAGCTTATCCTAAGAAAGCTTATCTAAAGAAAGCTCCTACAAAGAAAGCTTACCAAATACAAGTTTTTCTAAAGAAAGCTTATCTAAAAAAACTTGTCTAAAGAAAGCTTTTCTAGAAAAAGCATTTCTAAACAAAGCTTTTCTAAATAAAACTTTTCTAAAGAAAACTTTTCTAAGAAAAACTTTTCTAAAGTAAACTTTTCGAAAGAAAACTTTCTTAAAGACAAAACATTCTTTCAAAGAAAGCTTTGCTAAAGAAAACTTTTCTAAACAAAACTTTTCTAAAGAGAGCTTTTCTAAAGAAAACTTTTCTAAGGAAAACTTTTCTAAAGAAAGCATTTCTTAAGAAAACTTTTCTAAAGAGAGCTTTTCTAAAGAAAGCTTTTCTAAAGAAAACTTTTCTAAAGAAAACGTTTCTATAAAAAATGTTTCTAAAGAAAACTTTCTTATAGAAAAAACATTCTGAAGAAATTTCTTCTAAAGAAAGCTTTGATAAAGAAAACTTTTCGAAACAAGGCTTTTCTAAAGAAAGCTTTTCTAAAGAAAACTTTTCTTAAGAGAGCTTTTCTAAAGAAAACTTTTCTAGAGAAAACGTTTCTAAAGAAAGCTTAGCTAAAGAAAGCTGCTATAAATAAAGCTTTTCTTAAGAAAACTTTTCTAGAGAGAACTTTACTGGAGAAAGCTTTTCAAGGAAAAACTTTTTTAAAGAAAACCTTTTTAGAGAAAACATTTCTAAAGAAAGTTTTTCTAATGAAAGCTTTTCTAATGAAAACATTCCAAAAGAAAACTTTTCTATAGAAAAAAGTTTCAAAAGAAAACTTTTCTAAAGTAATCTTTTTTGGAAGAAAGCTTTGCTAAAGAAAACTTGTCTAAAGAAAGCTTTTCTAATAAAAACTCTTCTATAGACAACTTTTCTAATGAAATCTTTTCTAAAGAAAACTTTTTTAGAAAAAACTTTTATAGAGAGACTTTATTAGAGAAGACATTCTAAAGAAAATTCTTCAAAAGAAAGCTTTCGTAGAGAAAACATTCTAAAGAAAGTTCTTCCAAAGAATGCTTTTCTTAAATAAAACTTTTTTAAAGAAAATTTTCCTAAATAAATATTTCCTAAAAAACTATCTTAGAGAAAACTTTTCTAATGAAAACTTTCTTAGAGAAAACATTCTAAAGAAATTTCTTTAGTTTTCTAGAGAAAAATTTTCTAGAGAAAACTTTCTTCTAAAACTTTCTAAAGAAAACATTCAAAAGAAATTTTTCTAAAAAAAAAATAACTTGTCTAATAAAGTTATTTAATGAAATCTTTTCTAAAAAAATTTTGTAGAGAAATTATAACGTTTTCATGGAGAAAGCTTTTCTAAAGGAAACTATTCTGGAAACAACATTTATACAAAAAACTTCTCTAAATTTTTTTTTTTTATCTAAAGAAACCCATTCTAATAACTCTTTAAGGAAACTCTATCTCTCTCTCCTAAAATTTATTGAATTTTCCTTTTGTTCCCTTTAAATTAAGAAAAAGTAATTAAACTTCTGATTTAACGTAAAATCATTTTTCATATAATTTCATTAACACACCTAAAATATTCGACAGAAAATACAACACTTTTTACTTATTTAAATGCATTAGTTTGGTAGTGAGAGATTTTTAGTATAAAGTATCATGTTCAAAAGAAAATATTTAAATTACACAATTTAAAATTTTTGAAATTTAATTTGCGGTAATTAAATTAAGTATGTAAATGAAGAGATGAATTTAATGAAGTGAACAAATATAGTAAAATAGCAACAAGAACAAATTTGAAACAATTTAACACTTTAAATATTGATTAACGTAGAAAATTTTTAAATGTTGTAAATAAAGTGAAATGTATAAAATAGTTATATTAACATTATAATAGCAATTTTATCGTGAATTCATATAAATAAATCTTATAAAAGCCTATAAAAATTGCATTTATTCTTACAGTTATTATGTGATGAAAAAAATCACAAATTGCAAGACTAATGAATAATTTACTGTATAAAAATATTAAAAGAAAGCCGCTTAACATACAGTGGCAAACAAAAAATAAAATAGAAATTTATATAATTTATATTGATTGAATATAGAAGAATCGAACTCATAACCCCTAAACCGTGTAGCTTTGTGTTAATAACATGAATACTTTTTATTACAATTGTAATCATTTCAACTATTTTTCATCACATTATTTTGTGCCCGACTGTAAAATTTTTTTAAAATAAATACCACATTAAATTCTACAGTCTTCATGATAAAATACGATTACTGTTTTCCATTTTTTTATTATTTGCTTTCATTTTCCCTGTTTATTTACATTAACAACGGTAATAATGGTCTTAAATAAGCTGTTAAAACAGAAGTGTAAGTGAATAAATGAAAAAGAAACTAAAAAGATTTAAAAGGTTTAAAAAAACATAAACATTAGTGAACTCATTTACTTAAAATATAATTAAATATAATTAATTTAGTTATATTACCAAATAGTCGACCTCTCGACTTTGTTAGGACTAAACTTTCGACTTCGAATTTTCGACTTTTTTCGACTATAAGTCAGTCGACTGTTCGAGTGTTTCAAAGTGGTTTTATAGAACCGTAAACCTAATTTTAACCACAAAAAAGTCGTTTTAATAATTACATATTATTTATTTGACACTCTAAGGGCGTATGATTGACATTTCATAACAAATAAAAATCATACGCCATGAAGTACTAAATTTCAATTTGGAAACTGTTTAGACTAGACTATAGACTAGACTATAGACTAGACTATAGACTAGACTATAGACTAGACTATAGACTAGACTATAGACTAGACTATAGACTAGACTATAGACTAAACTATAGACTAGACTATAGACTAGACTATAGACTAGACTATAGACTAGGCTACAGACTAGACTATAGACTAGGCTATAGACTAGGCTATAGACTAGACTATAGACTAGACTATAGACTACACTATAGACTAGACTATAGACTAGACTATAGACTAGACTATAGACTAGACTATAGACTATAGACTAGACTATAGACTATAGACTAGACTATAGACTAGACTATAGACTAGACTATAGACTAGGCTATAGACTAGACAATAGACTAGTCTATAGACTAGGCTATAGACTAGGCTATAGACTAGACAATAGACTAGTCTATAGACTAGGCTATAGACTAGACTATAGACTAGGCTATAGACTAGACTATAGACTAGGCTATAGACTAGACTATAGACTAGACTATAGACTAGACTATAGACTAGACTATAGACTAGACTATAGACTAGACTGTAGACTAGACTATAGACTAGACTATAGACTAGACTATAGACTAGACTATAGACTAGACTATAGACTAGACTATAGACTAGACTATAGACTAGACTATAGACTAGACTATAGACTAGACTATAGACTAGACTATAGACTAGACTATAGACTAGACTATAGACTAGACTATAGACTAGACTATAGACTAGACTATAGACTAGACTATAGACTAGACTATAGACTAGACTATAGACTAGACTATAGACTAGACTATAGACTAGACTATAGACTAGACTATAGACTAGACTATAGACTAGACTATAGACTAGACTATAGACTAGACTATAGACTAGACTATAGACTAGACTATAGACTAGACTATAGACTAGACTAGACTAGACTATAGACTAGACTATAGACTAGACTATAGACTAGACTATAGACTAGACTATAGACTAGACTATAGACTAGACTATAGACTAGACTAGACTAGACTAGACTATAGACTAGACTATAGACTAGACTATAGACTAGACTATAGACTAGACTATAGACTAGACTATAGACTAGACTATAGACTAGACTATAGACTAGACTATAGACTAGACTATAGACTAGACTATAGACTAGACTATAGACTAGACTATAGACTAGACTATAGACTAGACTATAGACTAGACTATAGACTAGACTATAGACTAGACTATAGACTAGACTATAGACTAGACTATAGACTAGACTATAGACTAGACTATAGACTAGACTATAGACTAGACTATAGACTAGACTATAGACTAGACTATAGACTAGACTATAGACTAGACTATAGACTAGACTATAGACTAGACTATAGACTAGACTAGACTAGACTAGACTAGACTAGACTAGACTAGACTAGACTATAGAATAGACTATAGACTAAACTATAGACTAGACTATAGACTAGACTATAGACTAGACTATAGACTAGACTATAGACTATACTATAGGCTATACTATAGACTAGAAGGATGTCGATAGGACAAAACATTTTCTATAATAAGTCGGTTGTTTTAAAGTCGATTTATAGAATCATAATCCCTTATTTGACGACATATTAACTATTCAACACTCCAAAGGCGTATTATTGATATTTCATAATAAATAATAATCATACGCCATGAAGTGCAAAATATTAATTGGAATACAAGTCGGTATTTCGTGAACTATTTTAGATATCGTAATGAAATTTCATAATATCGTAACTGAAGTGCTGCCGAGTTGATTTATAGTTTTTGATCTATGTAGGTGGAATGAGAGCCAGTGGACGGAATGCCAAAGTTGTTCCCATATTTGGCAGCATTCAGAAAATTAGATTTTTAGCAATTAATCGACAAAATATTTTTGATTTATGTTGAAATTTTATACAAATATTTTGTTGTTTTACTCATAGCTCTTCATTACTCATAACTGCTGTAGGGTTATCTTATGAACGGCCAAACCCTTACTTAATTTTTAATTATTTAGTATTTAAATTAAGAAATGCAATTAAATCTACACAGATTTGCTCTAAAATAATTGAAAATTAGAAAGAAACTCATTTGTAAAAAACAACTTTAATATTGTTAATAGAAAGCAGTCATTATAATCTTGATTATCTCCCCTAACTAAAATGTAAAAATTTATTCCATCTAAAACAAATGCATTAACCACAATCAAATTAAACCCCAAAATGGAAATCGTATACATTTTTACCCTCCAAAATTTTTGGTTTTAAATGAGTTTTTGTTTTGCAATTTGTAAAATAATATTTGGAAGGATTTTTGTTTTCACATCCGTCATTAAGTTGGTATGAATGAGACAAACACTTAGACATTTCGACAGTCAATATGAATGTATGTATGTATGTGTGTATGTATGTGTGGACGTGCGTGTGTATGGCTGTGTATGCTTTAGTATTACATGCATTTATAATTAATAGTATGCATTAAAATTTAGTTAGAACAGCAACAACTAATACTCCAATAACAACTACAACAACAACTATTAACAATAATAATACAACAACAAACATCAATAATACAATCATCAATATCACAACTTCTTCTTCTACCACATCCATCATCAATAATAATAATGTGAATAACAATATGAATGTGTATGCAACTGCAACCGCAACAACAACTACTACTACTAATAATAATAATAATGCAACAAATCTAATAACAACAACAGTATCATCATCATCATTACCAACAGCAATAATAACAACAACAACAACTACAAATGCAACTAGTACTACAGCAACATCAATACCAAAATCACCATCATCATCGACGCACACGTTTCAGGTGCCCATACCGTCGGTTTGTGTCCGTGTGCCACATACAAGTACAAATAGTTATTTTCATTGCAATACAGTTGGCGGTAATACACCAGTCACTGAAAGGCCTCACCAAAAAAACAACAATCATTTTCATCATCTTAATATTAAATCCTCTTCCGAATGTGATTTTACAACACTATTTGTGCGTGAGTGTGAACACCATCATTCTCTCTCTCTATCTCTTTTTCTGTATATCTCACTCAAACTATAACTGTTTCGTAATTTTTTTAAGTCTACTTCCCCCTTAAATTAATTATTACATTTTAAATCGTTATTGAATATTTAGACTTACCGTCCAACGCCCCTCCCCTTGTCATAGTACAATCAATCACACACCCTGTCACTAGCAAATTAACAAAGCACTGCTTACTTTGCTAAACTTGTTCGTATTAAAGGATAATTCCAATTTTGTTTTTTGATCATTTGAGGGCAACAATACTAGCTCTCTCTTCTATAATTATTTAAAGTGTTCCTTGTAAAATATATCTTTATGGAATTACCCAAAAAACTTTTAAAAAATCAACCCAGTGACTACCCCCAAACCCTTTTTTTCAGACCCTTGCGTGTGTGTTATATACAAATAATTATCTGTATTGTTTTTTCTTTAATATTTTTTATTTTATTTTCATTTTCTTTTTGTTACAAAAGCATGCATGCTGTTAACTAATTTGCTTATCGCTTTTGTTTCCAAGTCGTTTACAATTTGTATTTGCATTTCCGGTTACCGTTTGCCCTTTTGTAACCATTGTTTGTTGAAATTATATTTAAAATATGTTTGTATAGCTGTAAATATTTACTTAACATAAAAATACTTTACATATAAACACACACTCAATCACTAACAAACATATGTGGAAATATTTATTAAGTAAGAATCAGATCTATCTCAGAAACACCAAACAATGTTAGTTCGCTTTTAACAACTAAAAAGTTAATAGTCTAGTCTAGTCTACAGTCTAGGCTATAGACTATAGACTAGACTATAGACTAGACTAGACTATAGACTAGACTATAGACTAGACTATAGACTAGACTATAGACTAGACTATAGACTAGACTATAGACTAGACTATAGACTAGACTATAGACTAGACTATAGACTAGAGTATAGACTAGACTATAAACTAGACCATAGACTAGACTATAGACTAGACTATAGACTAGACTATAGACTAGACTATAGACTAGACTATAGACTAGACTATAGACTAGACTATAGACTAGACTATAGACTAGACTATAGACTAGACTATAGACTAGACTATAGACTAGACTATAGACTAGACTATAGACTAGTCTATAGACTAGACTATAGACTAGACTATAGACTAGACTATAGACTAGACTATAGACTAGACTATAGACTAGACTATAGACTAGACTATAGACTAGACTATAGACTAGACTATAGACTAGACTATAGACTAGACTATAGACTAGACTATAGACTAGACTATAGACTAGACTATAGACTAGACTATAGACTAGACTATAGACTAGACTATAGACTAGACTATAGACTAGACTATAGACTAGACTATAGACTAGACTATAGACTAGACTATAGACTAGACTATAGACTAGACTATAGACTAGACTATAGACTAGACTATAGACTAGACTATAGACTAGACTATAGACTAGACTATAGACTAGACTATAGACTAGACTATAGACTAGACTATAGACTAGACTATAGACTAGACTATAGACTAGACTATAGACTAGACTATAGACTAGACTATAGACTAGACTATAGACTAGACTATAGACTAGACTATAGACTAGACTATAGACTAGACTATAGACTAGACTATAGACTAGACTATAGACTAGACTATAGACTAGACTATAGACTAGACTATAGACTAGACTATAGACTAGACTATAGACTAGACTATAGACTAGACTATAGACTAGACTATAGACTAGACTATAGACTAGACTATAGACTAGACTATAGACTAGACTATAGACTAGACTATAGACTAGACTATAGACTAGACTAGACTATAGACTAGACTATAGACTAGACTATAGACTAGACTATAGACTAGACTATAGACTAGACTATAGACTAGACTATAGACTAGACTATAGACTAGACAATAGACTAGACTATAGACTAGACTATAGACTAGACTATGACTAGACTATAGACTAGACTATAGACTAGACTATAGACTAGACTATAGACAAGACTATAGACTAGACTATAGACTAGACTATAGACAAGACTATAGACTAGACTATAGACTAGACTATAGACTAGACTATAGACTAGACTATAGACTAGACTATAGACTAGACTATAGATTAGACTATAGACTAGACTATAGACTAGACTATAGACTAGACTATAGACTAGACTATAGACTAGACTATAGACTAGACTATAGACTAGACTAGACTAGACTATAGACTAGACTATAGACTAGATTATAGACTAGACTATAGACTAGACTATAGACTAGACTATAGACTAGACTATAGACTAGACTATAGACTAGACTATAGACTAGACTATAGACTAGACTATAGACTAGACTAGACTATAGACTAGACTATAGACTAGACTAGACTATAGACTAGACTAGACTATAGACTAGACCATAGACTAGACTATAGACTAGACTATAGACTAGACTATAGACTAGACTATAGACTAGACTATAGACTAGACTATAGACTAGACTATAGACTAGACTATAGACTAGACAATAGACTAGACTATAGACTAGACTATAGACTAGACTATAGACTAGACTATAGACTAGACTATAGACTAGACTAGACTAGACTATAGACAAGACTATAGACTAGACTATAGACTAGACTATAGACAAGACTATAGACTAGACTATAGACTAGACTATAGACTAGACTATAGACTAGACTATAGACTAGACTATAGACTAGACTATAGATTAGACTATAGACTAGACTATAGACTAGACTATAGACTAGACTATAGACTAGACTATAGACTAGACTATAGACTAGACTAGACTATACTAGACTATAGACTAGACTATAGACTAGACTATAGACTAGACTATAGACTAGACTATAGACTAGACTATAGACTAGACTATAGACTAGACTATAGACTAGACTATAGACTAGACTAGACTATAGACTAGACTATAGACTAGACTATAGACTAGACTAGACTATAGACTAGACTATAGACTAGACTATAGACTAGACTATAGACTAGACTATAGACTAGACTATAGACTAGACTATAGACTAGACTATAGACTAGAATAGACTAGACTATAGACTAGACTATAGACTAGACTATAGACTAGACTATAGACTAGACTATAGACTAGACTATAGACTAGACTATAGACTAGACTATAGACTAGACTATAGACTAGACTATAGACTAGACTATAGACTAGACTATAGACTAGACTATAGACTAGACTATAGACTAGACTATAGACTAGACTATAGACTAGACTATAGACTAGACTATAGACTAGACTATAGACTAGACTATAGACTAGACTATAGACTAGACTATAGACTAGACTATAGACTAGACTATAGACTAGACTATAGACTAGACTATAGACTAGACTATAGACTAGACTATAGACTAGACTATAGACTAGACTATAGACTAGACTATAGACTAGACTATAGACTAGACAATAGACTAGACTATAGACTAGACTATAGACTAGACTATAGACTAGACTATAGACTAGACTATAGACTAGACTATAGACTAGACTATAGACAAGACTATAGACTAGACTATAGACTAGACTATAGACAAGACTATAGACTAGACTATAGACTAGACTATAGACTAGACTATAGACTAGACTATAGACTAGACTATAGACTAGACTATAGATTAGACTATAGACTAGACTATAGACTAGACTATAGACTAGACTATAGACTAGACTATAGACTAGACTATAGACTAGACTATAGACTAGACTAGACTATAGACTAGACTATAGACTAGACTATAGACTAGACTATAGACTAGACTATAGACTAGACTATAGACTAGACTATAGACTAGACTATAGACTAGACTAGACTATAGACTAGACTATAGACTAGACTATAGACTAGACTAGACTATAGACTAGACTATAGACTAGACTATAGACTAGACTATAGACTAGACTATAGACTAGACTATAGACTAGACTATAGACTAGACTATAGACTAGACTATAGACTAGACTATAGACTAGACTATAGACTAGACTATAGACTAGACTATAGACTAGACTATAGACTAGACTATAGACTAGACTATAGACTAGACTATAGACTAGACTATAGACTAGACTATAGACTAGACTATAGACTAGACTATAGACTAGACTAGACTAGACTATAGACTAGACTATAGACTAGACTATAGACTAGACTATAGACTAGACTATAGACTAGACTATAGACTAGACTATAGACTAGACTATAGACTAGACTATAGACTAGACTATAGACTAGACTATAGACTAGACTATAGACTAGACTATAGACTAGACTATAGACTAGACTATAGACTAGACTATAGACTAGACTATAGACTAGACTATAGACTAGACTATAGACTAGACTATAGACTAGACTATAGATTAGACTATAGACTAGACTATAGACTAGACTATAGACTAGACTATAGACTAGACCATAGACTAGACTATAGACTAGACTATAGACTAGACTATAGACTAGACTATAGACTAGACTATAGACTAGACTATAGACTAGACTATAGACTAGACTATAGACTAGACTATAGTGTAGACTATAGACTAGACTATAGACTAGACTATAGACTAGACTATAGACTAGACTATAGACTAGAATATAGACTTGACTATAGACTAGAATATAGACTAGACTATAGACTAGACTATAGACTAGACTATAGACTAGACTATAGACTAGACTATAGACTAGACTATAGACTAGACTATAGACTAGACTATAGACTAGACTATAGACTAGACTATAGACTAGCCTATAGTCGACTTTATTCCCAATAGTCCAGATCGTTGATCTATTTCAAGCTGCAAACTCGACTATAGCCCAGAACCTATGAAACTAATACAAATTTCAACCATGTATTGACATTTTTACCAGTTTCGCCATTGGGTGCTTCAGTTACTAGAACACTCAACATTTGAAAATATTTTAATAATATTTTAATTGTTTTAAATTTTCTGAAATCAAATTTTGTTGCATGTTTTATAAAGCTTTTTTAAAATTTAAAAACAATCAGTAATAACTTAAATAATTCAAGTCATAGTTTCAAAGCTTTTTATTTAAAATCATCAAATCTATGTTCTCTTTTTCTTAATTTTAAATATAACTATAGCATCAGATAATCCTACATCTGTGATAATATCGGATTCGAAACCGAATCTTAAAGATACCGCTGTTACATCGACTAATGCAACGCAAACGCCAGCAGCAACGACAACAACCACTGTCACAAACACGACGACGATACCATTAAGTTTAGGTGGTGGCAGCGGAGGAAGTGCTAGCGGCGGTGGTAGTTCTATGGGCAATACTTTAGCTGTAAGCTCCGCACTAGGTGGTGGTGGAGGAGGAGGAGGTGGAGGCGGCGGTTTAACTGTAGCCTCAACAACTGGTAACCATTTAGAATTACCACAAACGGGTAATCCAAACTTATTAAGTCCGGATATTTTAAATCAAAGAAGAGGTAAGTTTTAGAAATATCTACAACATACTTTATTAAAGAATCCGAAACATCAATTTGAATACAAATACAAACATTACTTGAGCTTTTATTTACTAATTTTTTTTCACAGGAAGTAGACGACCTTCTATCTTACCCGTACCTGATATGTTCACCTCCTCCTCGTTTAGTATATCTGGCAATGATGATGGCGATGAGGGTGATGAAAGTGACGACGAAATCGAAGATGATGTACCCTGGCGTTCGCCATCAGAAAAAATTGCGTAAGTTTGTTTTCCCTCTTATTTATAATAATATTAAAATTAAATTTTAATTAAGTAATTTTTCCCCCAAATATATTTTTATTCTTGTATATGAGTATCCTTCCATTTCTTTCCAATACTACTTAGCTGTCTGTCCAAAAATCTTGTTTTTAGCTTTAAAATATTCTACTGATCTTCTTTTTATATGTAATTGTATATCATAGAAATCAATTAATATATTCTAAAAACTTTTAAGCTCTTATTAGCTTTATTAAGACAAAAAAGCGTGCTGTAGAATTTTATCAGCATTACAATATTTGACATTTAACAAGTTCATTTATAACGTTGTAATATTCATCTTAAAAATAAATATACGCTAAAACCATATCAGCAAAAATCTGTAGAAAAACAAACGCATTAAATTTATCACACATTTTGACACAAATTCTCAAAATATTTGAATATGAATAAAAAATACTTAGTTCATAATGAATAAAAATATTCAGTTCCAGTTCAGTTCTAGTTCAGTTCTAGTTCAGTCTAGTTCAGTTCTAGTTCAGTTCTAGTTCAGTTCTAGTTCAGTTCTAGTTCAGTTCTAGTTCAGTTCCATTCTAGTTCTAGTTCAGTTCTAGTTCAGTTCTAGTTCATTTTAGTTCAGTTCTAGTTCAGTTCAGTTCAGTTCTAGTTCAGTTCTAGTTCAGTTCTAGTTCAGGTCTAGTTCAGTTCTAGTTCAGTTCTAGTTCAGTTCTAGTTCAGTTCTAGTTCAGTTCTAGTGCAGTTCTAGTTCAGTTCTAGTTCAGTTCTGTTCAGTTCTAGTTCAGTTCTAGTTCAGTTCTAGTTCATTCTAGTTCAGTTCTAGTTCAGTTCTAGTTCAGTTCTAGTTCAGTTCTAGTTCAGTTCTAGTTCAGTTCTAGTTCAGTTCTAGTTCAGTTCTAGTTCAGTTCTAGTTCAGTTCTAGTTCAGTTCTAGTCAGTTCTAGTTCAGTTCTAGTTCAGTTCTAGTCAGTTCTAGTTCAGTTCTAGTTCAGTTCTAGTTCAGTTCTAGTTCAGTTCTAGTTCAGTTCTAGTTCAGTTCTAGTTCAGTTCTAGTTCAGTTTCTAGTTCAGTTCTAGTTCAGTTCTAGTTCAGTTCTAGTTCAGTTTAGTTCAGTTCTAGTTCAGTTCGAGTTCAGTTCGTTCAGTTCTTCAGTTCTCAGTTCAGTTCTAGTCAGTTCTAGTTCAGTTCTAGTTCAGTTTCTAGTTCAGTTCTAGTTCAGTTCTAGTTCAGTTCTAGTTCAGTTCTAGTTCAGTTCTAGTTCAGTTCTAGTTCCGTTCAGTCCAGTTCAGTTCTAGTTCAGTTTCTAGTTCAGGTCTAGTTCAGTTCTAGTTCAGGTCTAGTTCAGTTCTAGTTCAGTTCTAGTTCAGTTCTAGTTCAGGTTCTAGTTCAGTTCTATTTCATTCTAGTTCAGTTCTAGTTCAGTTCTTAGTTCAGTTCTAGTTCAGTTCTAGTTCAGTTCTAGTTCAGTTCTAGGTCAGTTCTAGTTCAGTTCTAGTTCAGTTCCTAGTGCAGTTCTAGTTCAGTTCTAGTTCAGTTCTAGTTCAGTTCCTAGTTCAGTTCTAGTTCAGGTCTAGTTCAGGTCTAGTTCAGTTCTAGTTCAGTTCTAGTTCAGTTCTAGTTCAGTTCTAGTTCAGTTCCAGTTCAGTTGTGAATTAGTTCTAATACTTATGCAAAACTCTTCAGAAGTTGGATCGCATGAATAACGATCAGATGCATTTTATATCGAATAAGGCCGAAGTGTCGAAGGGACATTTGGCAAGTTTGCAAAGACGCTAACTTAAGGAAGGACTATAGTCCTTGTCAGAAATCTTTCGAACAATGTAATTTGGACACCATGAGTTTAGGAATCAACTACAAAATTTTTACATAGTTTTTGGTTTTATACAGTCAAGTATTGTGGTGAAATCTTCACTTATTTTTACAATTAAATTAATGTACAGGCAATTACATATTTACTACATTGGCCTTTTTCACCTCTTGCTGGTTTTAACTTAAAATGAAACGTCCTTTTAATTATTTATTAATTGAGGCTTCTGGCTTCAGGTCTTATAAACTTGATACTATAAATTTTTCACATAAGTGCACTCACTCTTCAAAATTTTAATAGATATGTATGTATGTATATAAATTAGGTCGATGATATATACGAAAGAAAATGATAAATATAATAAATATAAAAGAAAATTGAACCCAAATGTCCTTTTTGGTTGATGTCTATAATATATAATGTTCATTTATTTCCATCTCCATTAAATCGAAAATATTAAAATAATAATAACGATAAAACTCAGTTGCTTGGGTGGTCATTTTCCACAATCACGTACGTATTCACTTATTATGAGTTCATCTGAAGATTCCAATTTACGTTGCTGTTGTAGCAACAACAACAATAGCGAACAGGAAAACAATGGCAACCAAAATATAACACGAACATCACATTATGCATTTGGTAGTGAAGTGAATGATACTATGACGATGGGTGTAGTTGGTGTTGGCTCCACTCGTCGTTATCAAAAAATGAAAAAGAGCTACAGTTGTGACAGTGATTGTGTCCGCAAAGTAAATCACATGCGTCTCAGTCACATCAACAACAGCAATAGCAATTATATACCTTTAAATGAATGTAGCCAGCAGCAACAAACGGAGACTTGTTGTTCATCGTGTTGTTGTTCAACAACAACTATAGCACCTGCATCGACTGGCACTACGGCCACATTCACCACTACCATGTCAAGTCATCAGGCCACAACGGCAAATGTCATCAATGCTGCTACCACCTCAAGTAGTTCCATGTCGTCGAAAGCAGCACGACCCGTTTGGGCTGTCGACTATTTACGGTAAGTTGTCGACAACTTTTACGACAACTCGAAACTCATATTCAGATGCAAAACAACAACAAATTCGTTTGAGTTTATGATTGTAGCTGGAAACTGGAATCATATTTTTGTAGCGTTGACTGTTTTGATCTGAATTTGCAAGAGTTTTTTATTTTGAATTTTGAATTCTACGTAAAAGTTGCTTCGATTGTGTTAAATGCTTCAAGTTCTGTTGTTGTTGGTTGGTTGGCCTCTATCTATCTAATTAATGGCTGCTAATTTAAGAAAAACAAATGGAAAATTTCCACAAAAAAAAAACATTTTCCAAAATTCATATATTTTTGTAGCCTTTGAATGTTGTGCTACTACTACTGCTACACAATTCACCATACAGTTGTTGTTATTGTTGTTTTAAACCAAAAAAAAAAAAGTTATACGAAAATTATAAATTATAATTATAAATTTTTCTACAGTTTTAAAATAAAAATTTTGAAAAAAAAAACATTCATTATTGAATTCATACGTTTGTTTGTTCGCTAGTTTACGTTTTACGCCCTTAGTCGCTAGTTTTTTCGCTCGCTCTTTACATTTTAAATAATAAAATTTTATAAAATTGCTTGGGTTTTATTTAATAAAATTATATAATTTTATTTTTGTTTAACATTTAGTTTTGTATTTAATTTCATTACATGAGTTATTATTTAATAAACTATCCATCTACTTAAAATTTCATTAAAAATGTTCAATGTAATTTAAAAGTTTTAGTTGAAAACAACACAAAACTAATTAAACAGTCTACATGTGATGGCCTCCAATCACATGCAATATAATGTTCACATTAGGTTGCTTTTATACCCTACAGCACTTTAGTGGTGGGCGCATCATCCACCTTAAAGTATTGGAGACGCCTTAATAACCTATCAGTTGGATTATTTATTTATTTAAATGTCTAGTTCAGTTCTAGTTCAGTTCTAGTTCAGTTCTAGTTCAGTTCTAGTTCAGTTCTAGTTCAGTTCAAGTTCAGTTCTAGTTCAGTTCTAGTTCAGTTCTAGTTCAGTTCTAGTTCAGTTCTAGTTCAGTTCTAGTTCAGTTCTAGTTCAGTTCTAGTTCAGTTCTAGTTCAGTTCTAGTTCAGTTCTAGTTCAGTTCTAGTTCAGTTCTAGTTCAGTTCTAGTTCAGTTCTAGTTCAGTTCTAGTTCAGTTCTAGTTCAGTTCTAGTTTAGTTCTAGTTCAGTTCTAGTTCAGTTCTAGTTCAGTTCTAGTTCAGTTCTAGTTCAGTTCTAGTTCAGTTCAAGTTCAGTCTAGTCAGTTTCAAGTTCAGTTCAAGTTCAGTTCAAGTTCAGTTCTAGTTCAGTTTTAGTTCAGTTCTAGTTCAGTTCTAGTTCAGTTCTAGTTCAGTTCAAGTTCAGTTCAAGTTCAGTTCTAGTTCAGTTTTAGTTCAGTTCTAGTTCAGTTCTAGTTCAGTTCTAGTTCAGTTCTAGTTCAGTTCTAGTTCAGTTCTAGTTCAGTTCTAGTTCAGTTCTAGTTCAGTTCTAGTTCAGTTCTAGTTCAGTTCTAGTTCAGTTCTAGTTCAGTTCTAGTTCAGTGCTAGTTCAGTTCTAGTTCAGTTCTAGTTCAGTTCTAGTTCAGTTCTAGTTCAGTTCTAGTTCAGTTCTAGTTCAGTTCTACTTCAGTTCTAGTTCAGTTCTAGTTCAGTTCTAGTTCAGTTCTAGTTCAGTTCTAGTTCAGTTCTAGTTCAGTCAGTTCTAGTTCAGTTCTAGTTCAGTTCTAGTTCAGTTCTAGTCAGTTCTAGTCAGTTCTAGTCAGTTCTAGTTCAGTTCTAGTTCAGTTCTAGTTCAGTTCTAGTCAGTTCTAGTTCAGTTCTAGTTCGTTCTAGTTCAGTTCTAGTTCAGTTCTAGTTCAGTTCTAGTTCAGTTCTAGTTCAGTTCTAGTTCAGTTCTAGTTCAGTTCTAGTTCAGTTCTAGTTCAGTTCTAGTTCAGTTCTAGTTCAGTTATAGTTCAGTTCTAGTTCAGTTCTAGTTCAGTTCTAGTCAGTTCAGTTCAGTTCTAGTTCAGTTCTAGTTCAGTTCTAGTCAGTTCTAGTTCAGTTCTAGTTCAGTTCTAGTTCAGTTCTAGTTCAGTCTAGTTCAGTTCTAGTTCTAGTTCAGTTCTCAGTTCTAGTTCAGTTCTAGTTCAGTTCTAGTTCAGTTCTAGTTCAGTTCTAGTTCAGTTCTAGTTCAGTTCTAGTTCAGTTCTAGTTCAGTTCTAGTTCAGTTCTAGTTCAGTTCTAGTTCAGTTAGTTCAGTTCTAGTCCAGTTCTAGTTCAGTTCTAGTTCAGTTCTAGTTCAGTTCTAGTTCAGTTCTAGTTCAGTTCTAGTTTCAGTTCTAGTTCAGTTCTAGTTCAGTTCTAGTTCAGTTCTAGTTCAGTTCTAGTTCAGTTCTAGTTCATTTCTAGTTCAGTTCCAGTATAAGTTTTAGTATAAATCGAATCGAAAACGAATTTAACAGCATACATTGATGGCCTCCAAACACATGCAATAAAAAGTTCATATTAGGTTGGTTTTATACCATACAGGAACATTAGTGGTAAGAGCAAAATCTACCTTAAGTATTGCCGACGCCTTATTAATCGATCAGTCAGATTATATATTTCTTCATTTAAAGAAAGAAATACACCTACCAGCAAATAGGGTTTGTACATTTGTTGTCAAATATTTAATTCATAATGTGAACACAACTTTAAAACAAATTCTTACAATTTTTATTGTTATTTTCTTTATTGTTTCGCCATAATTTTAATTATTTCTTTTGTTTTATCTTATTAAACTGGCTCTTAACTTTAGTTTGGCTCTCTTTCAATATTAAAATGCTTTTATATAGTAAGTACTGTTTTTCTTGGAACTTTTTTTTAGTAGTAGTTGGGCAAACTTTGGCATTTACTATATAGTAATTCTTTTATTTTTTTTCTATTTTCAAAATATATACTTCAACAGTAACAGTTGTGAAAGTTTGTTGGTTAAAAATTCATTTACATACATAAAAATCAATTTAAATAAATAAAATTTTGTTTGTTAATTTTACTTCACATCTGAAATATTTTTTGCTTTGACTTACCATCAAAATTTAGTTAAATTTAAAGAAGGAATGCAAATACATGCTTTTGGCTACAAATAAAAAAAAATAATTGAATTTCAAAAAAGTTTTTAATAAAAAAACTTTCTGTAGTTTCATGCGTGTTAAAGGAATGCTTAAAAACATACTGCTGCGTAATATTGTTAAAGTTAAAGTACGTATAAATTATTAAATATTTATGGGTTTAAGATATTTATCTCAAACAAATATAGCTATAGCCGAGAGACTATGATTTCTACCGTCGAGTCACGGTATTTTTATCGAGACATTATTGTAGCTCTAGTGAAAAGACTGAAGTCAATATAATAGAGGGACTATAATCTCTATAGTTAAGCCATAATAATGGAGAGACTATTATTTGCACAGTAGAGAAAGTATCTCTAGAGTCGAGAGACCATAATATTTCAAAAGTCGAGAGATTTTTAACTAAAAGTCGAAAATTCTGTCACATTGATAGTTATGAAGTTGATTTGTTATAGTTCAGTTCTAGTTCAGTTCTAGTTCAGTTTCTAGTTCAGTTCTAGTTCAGTTCTAGTTCAGTTCTAGTTCAGTTCTAGTTCAGTTCTAGTGTCAGTTCTAGTTCGTTCTAGTTCAGTTCTAGTTCAGTTCTAGTTCAGTTCTAGTTCAGTTCTAGTTCAGTTCTAGTTCAGTTTCTAGTTCAGTTCTAGTTCAGTTCTAGTTCAGTTCTAGTTCAGTTCTAGTTCAGTTCTAGTTCGTTCTAGTTCAGTTTCTAGTTCAGTTCTAGTTCAGTTCTAGTTCAGTTCTAGTTCAGTTCTAGTTCAGTTCTAGTTCAGTTCTAGTTCAGTTCTAGTTCAGTTCTAGTTCAGTTCTAGTTCAGTTCTAGTTCATTCTAGTTCAGTTCAGTTCAGTTCTAGTTCAGTTCTAGTTCAGTTCTAGTTCATTTTCTAGTTCAGTTCTAGTTCAGTTCTAGTTCAGTTCTAGTTCAGTTCTATTCAGTTCTAGTCAGTTCTAGTTCAGTTCTAGTTCAGTTCTAGTTCAGTTCTAGTTCAGTTCTAGTTCAGTTCTAGTTCAGTTCTAGTTCAGTTCTAGTTCAGTTCTAGTTCAGTTCTAGTTCAGTTCTAGTTCAGTTCTAGTTCAGTTCTAGTTCAGTTCTAGTTCAGTTCTAGTTCAGTTCTTGTTCAGTTCTAGTCCAGTTCTAGTTCAGTTCTAGTTCAGTTCTAGTTCAGTTCTAGTTCAGTTCTAGTTCAGTTCTAGTTCAGTTCTAGTTCAGTTCTAGTTCAGTTCTAATTCAGTTCTAGTTCAGTTCTAGTTCAGTTCTAGTTCAGTTCTAGTTCAGTTCTAGTTTAGTTCTAGTTCAGTTCTAGTTCAGTTCTAGTTTAGTTCTAGCTCAGTTCTAGTTCAGTTCTAGTTCAGTTCTAGTTCAGTTCTAGTTCAGTTCTAGTTCAGTTCTAGTTCAGTTCTAGTTTAGTTCTAGTTCAGTTCTAGTTCAGTTCTAGTTCAGTTCTAGTTCAGTTCTAGTTCAGTTCTAGTTCAGTTCTAGTTCAGTTCTAGTTCAGTTCTAGTTCAGTTCTAGTTCAGTTCTAGTTCAGTTCTAGTTCAGTTCAGTTCTAGTTCAGTTCTAGTTCAGTTCTAGTTCAGTTCTAGTTCAGTTCAGTTTAGTTCAGTTAGTTAGTTCAGTTCAGTTCTAGTTCAGTTCAGTTCTAGTTCAGTTCAGTTCTAGTTCAGTTCAGTTCAGTTCTAGTTCAGTTCAGTTCAGTTCAGTTCAGTTCTAGTTCAGTTCTAGTTCAGTTCTAGTTCAGTTCTAGTTCAGTTCTAGTTCAGTTCTAGTTCAGTTCTAGTTCAGTTCTAGTTCAGTTCTAGTTCAGTTCTAGTTCAGTTCTAGTTCAGTTCTAGTTCAGTTCTAGTTCAGTTCTAGTTCAGTTCTAGTTCAGTTCTAGTTCAGTTCTAGTTCAGTTCTAGTTCAGTTCTAGTTCAGTTCTAGTTCAGTTCTAGTTCAGTTCTAGTTCAGTTCTAGTTCAGTTCTAGTTCAGTTCTAGTTCAGTTCTAGTTCAGTTCTAGTTCAGTTCTAGTTCAGTTCTAGTTCAGTTCTAGTTCAGTTCTAGTTCAGATTCTAGTTCAGTTCTAGTTCAGTTTTTCTAGTTCAGTTCTAGTTCAGTTCTAGTTCAGTTCTAGTTCAGTTCTAGTTCAGTGTCTAGTTCAGTTCTAGTTCAGTTCTAGTTCATTCTAGTTCAGTTAGTTCAAGTTCTCAGTTCAGTTCTAGTTCAGTTCTAGTGTCAGGTTCTAGTTCAGTTTTCTAGTTCAGTTCTAGTTCAGTTCTAGTTCAGTTCTGTTCAGTTTCTAGTTCAGTTCCTAGTTCAGTTCTAGTTCAGTTCTAGGTCAGTTCTAGTTGAGTTCTAGTTCAGTTCTAGTTCAGTTCTAGTTCAGTTCTAGTTCAAGTTCGAGTTCATCGAGTTCATTAGTTCAGTGTCGAGTTTCAGTTTTCTAGTTCAGTTCTAGTTCAGTTCTAGTTCAGTTCTAGTTCAGTTCTAGTTCAGTTCTAGTTCAGTCTAGTTTCATTTCTAGTTCAGTTCTAGTTCAGTTCTAGTTCAGTTCTAGTTCAGTTCTAGTTCAGTTCTAGTTCAGTTCTAGTTCAGTTCTAGTTCAGTTCTAGTTCAGTTCTAGTTCAGTTCTAGTTCAGTTCTAGTTCAGTTCTAGTTCAGTTCTAGTTCAGTTCTAGTTCAGTTCTAGTTCAGTTCTAGTTGAGTTCTAGTTCAGTTCTAGTTCAGTTCTAGTTCAGTTCTAGTTCAGTTCTAGTTCAGTTCTAGTTCAGTTCTAGTTCAGTTCTAGTTCAGTTCTAGTTCAGTTCTAGTTCAGTTCTAGTTCAGTTCTAGTTCAGTTCTAGTTCAGTTCTAGTTCAGTTCTAGTTCAGTTCTAGTTCAGTTCTAGTTCAGTTCTAGTTCAGTTCTAGTTCAGTTCTAGTTCAGTTCTAGTTCAGTTCTAGTTCAGTTCTAGTTCAGTTCTAGTTCAGTTCTAGTTCAGTTCTAGTTCAGTTCTAGTTTATTTCTAGTTCATTTGTAGTTCAGTTCTAGTTTATTTCTAGTTATTTAGGAAAAAAACATTGTTGCCTGTTAATTAAAATTTTAATAATTTTATAAGAAATACTTTTTCCACATCCAAAATATCATTATTCCTTTTCCACTTACAAATATTTTCAAATTTATTTTCATTTATTTAATATATCCCACCAAATTATTTAATAAATAAATAACAAATAGCTTTCTTTATTATGCTTTTATTTATATCTAAGCATTTTATTTATAAAACTTCCTTATTTTTATTGAAATGTTTTACCATTATGTTTATATTAAGTTAAACGTTAAATTGAGAAAAATATATGATATCCTTTAAAATAAAGAATTTTGTTATTAAATAAAAAAAAATTATGAAAGGACCATGAAATCTTTTAATGTTTTTTTTAAGAACAGAAAAAAAAACATCAAGAGAAAATAGCTTAATATTATAATAAATGTTTGTTATTGTGTTTTCTTTTTTCTCTTTCTATATCTTGTTTTTTTGTCATTCGTTCATGTGTGTGTGCAGCATCGTTAAAGGATTTCCTCCTGTGTCACCGTTTATTGGTGTTAGTCCCACGCTCTGTTATTTACTCAAGGAGAAGAAACCATTATGCTGTTTACAGTTAGCACAGGTATGTCTATCCCCACCGTTGTGTGTTTACATGTATGTTTGTGTCGGTATAAGTTAAAAAAGTTTTAAAAACAGGACATCACAAAACTGTATAAAACTAATGCATAAAAAACAGAAAGTTTTGCTAAAAAAAACTGATGTCGTTAAAACAAACATGAATTTAAGAGGAAAACATATTTTTTATGGTCACTATTTTTAAATTTCTTTTATTATTCATATAATAAACATATTTTACCGTTTTTTTTTATCTTTGTTTATTGTTTTTAAGGTCTGTGAACATTGTGGCTACCGTAATGCCAAAGAATATCAATGGCAAAATAAAACAATAATTTTAGCTGCCGATTATGCCTCGAATGGTATTTATAATTTCATCATACCGTTGCGTGCCCATTTCCGTTCGAAAACCTCATTGAATCCAATTATTTTACTGTTAGAGCGTAGACCGGATGTGGCATTTTTGGATGCTTTATCATATTTTCCATTGGTGAGTAAATATTCCATTGGTTGTGTCAAGTATATTGAGTTTTAAAATTTTAACTTTAGTTAACTTTAACCCTTAAGAGAGTTTAGGATCAATAGTTAATTGACTATAGTCTCTAATCAAGAGACAAGAGACTATAGTCACAGTCAAGTAACTATTGTCACTAAATTAGAGCGACTACAGTCTTCATAGAATAGTTCAGTTCTAGTTCAGTTCTCGTTCAGTTCTAGTTCAGTTCAGTTCTAGTTCAGTTCTAGTTCAGTTCTAGTTCAGTTCTAGTTCAGTTCTAGTTCAGTTCTAGTTCAGTTCTAGTTCAGTTCTAGTTCAGTTCTAGTTCAGTTCTAGTTCAGTTCTAGTTCAGTTCTAGTTCAGTTCTAGTTCAGTTCTAGTTCAGTTCTAGTTCAGTTCTAGTTCAGTTCTAGTTCAGTTCTAGTTCAGTTCTAGTTCAGTTCTAGTTCAGTTCTAGTTCAGTTCTAGTTCAGTTCTAGTTCAGTTCTAGTTCAGTTCTAGTTCAGTTCTAGTCAGTTCTAGTTCAGTTCTAGTTCAGTTCTAGTTCAGTTCTAGTTCAGTTCTAGTTCAGTTCTAGTTCAGTTCTAGTTCAGTTCTAGTTCAGTTCTAGTTCAGTTCTAGTTCAGTTCTAGTTCAGTTCTAGTTCAGTTCTAGTTCAGTTCTAGTTCAGTTTCTAGTTCAGTTCTAGTTCAGTTCTAGTTCAGTTCTATAGTTCAGTTCTAGTTCAGTTCTAGTTCAGTTCTAGTTCAGTTTCTAGTTCAGTTCTAGTTCAGTTCTAGTTCAGTTCTAGTTCAGTTCTAGTTCAGTTCTAGTTCAGTTCTAGTTCAGTTTCTAGTTCAGTTCTAGTTCAGTTTCTAGTTCAGTTCTAGTTCAGTTCTAGTTCAGTTCTAGTCAGTTCTAGTTCAGTTCTAGTTCAGTTCTAGTTCAGTTCTAGTTCAGTTCTAGTTCAGTTCTAGTTCAGTTCTAGTTCAGTTCTAGTTCTAGTTCAGTTCTAGTTCAGTTCTAGTTCAGTTCTAGTTCAGTTCTAGTTCAGTTCTAGTTCAGTTCTAGTTCAGTTCTAGTTCAGTTCTAGTTCAGTTCTAGTTCAGTTCTAGTTCAGTTCTAGTTCAGTTCTAGTTCAGTTCTAGTTCAGTTCTAGTTCAGTTCTAGTTCAGTTCTAGTTCAGTTCTAGTTCAGTTCTAGTTCAGTTCTAGTTCTAGTTTAGTTCTAGTTCAGTTCTAGTTCAGTTCTTGTTCAGTTCTAGTTCAGTTCTGGTTTAGTTCTAGTTTAGTTCTAGTTCAGTTCTAGTTCAGTTCTAGTTCAGTTCTAGTTCAGTTCTAGTTCAGTTCTTGTTCAGTTCTAGTTCTGTTCTAGTTCTGTTCTAGTTCTGTTCTAGTTCTGTTCTAGTTCTGTTCTAGTTCTGTTCCAGTTCTGTTCTAGTTCTATTCTAGTTCTGTTCTAGTTCTGTTCTAGTTCTGTTCTAGTTCTGTTTAGTTCTGTTCTAGTTCTGTTCTAGTTCTGTTCTAGTTCTGTTCTAGTTCTGTTCTAGTTCTGTTCTAGTTCTCTTCTAGTTCTCTTCTAGTTCTGTTCTAGTTCTGTTCTAGTTCTGTTCTAGTTCTGTTCTAGTACTGTTCTAGTTCTGTTCTAGTTCTGTTCTAGTTCTGTTCTAGTTCTGTTCTAGTTCTGTTCTAGTTCTGTTCTAGTTCTGTTCTAGTTCTGTTCTAGTTCTGTTCTAGTTCTGTTCTAGTTCTGTTCTAGTTCTGTTCTAGTTCTGTTCTAGTTCTGTTCTAGTTCTGTTCTAGTTCTGTTCTAGTTCTGTTTAGTTCAGTTCCAGTTCAGTTCTAGTTCAGTTCTAGTTCAGTTCTAGTTCAGTTCTAGTTCAGTTCTAGTTCAGTTCTAGTTCAGTTCTAGTTCAGTTCTAGTTCAGTTCTAGTTCAGTTCTAGTTCAGTTCTAGTTCAGTTCTAGTTCAGTTCTAGTTCAGTTCTAGTTCAGTTCTAGTTCAGTTCTAGTTCAGTCTAGTTCAGTTCTAGTTCAGTTCTAGTTCAGTTCTAGTTCAGTTCTAGTTCAGTTCTAGTTCAGTTCTAGTTCAGTTCTAGTTCAGTTCTAGTTCAGTTCTAGTTCAGTTCTAGTTCAGTTCTAGTTCAGTTCTAGTTCAGTTCTAGTTCAGTTCTAGTTCAGTTCTAGTTCAGTTCTAGTTCAGTTCTAGTTCAGTTCTAGTTCAGTTCTAGTTCAGTTCTAGTTCAGTTCTAGTTCAGTTCTAGTTCAGTTCTAGTTCAGTTCTAGTTCAGTTCTAGTTCAGTTCTAGTTCAGTTCTAGTTCAGTTCTAGTTCTGTTCTAGTTCTGTTCTAGTTCTGTTTAGTTCAGTTCAGTTCAGTTCTAGTTCAGTTCTAGTTCAGTTCTAGTTCAGTTCTAGTTCAGTTCTAGTTCAGTTCTAGTTCAGTTCTAGTTCAGTTCTAGTTCAGTTCTAGTTCAGTTCTAGTTCAGTTCTAGTTCAGTTCTAGTTCAGTTCTAGTTCAGTTCTAGCTCAGTTCTAGCTTCAGTTCTAGTTCAGTTCTAGTTCAGTTCTAGTTCAGTTCTAGTTCAGTTCTAGTTCAGTTCTAGTTCAGTTCTAGTTCAGTTCTAGTTCAGTTCTAGTTCAGTTCTAGTTCAGTTCTAGTTCAGTTCTAGTTCAGTTCTAGTTCAGTTCTAGTTCAGTTCTAGTTCAGTTCTAGTTCAGTTCTAGTTCAGTTCTAGTTCAGTTCTAGTTCAGTTCTAGTTCAGTTCTAGTTCAGTTCTAGTTCAGTTCTAGTTCAGTTCTAGTTCAGTTCTAGTTCAGTTCTAGTTCAGTTCTAGTTCAGTTCTAGTTCAGTTTTAGTTAAGTTCTAGTTCAGTTCTGGTTCAGTTCTACAGTACTTCAACATTAAAAATTATAAATTTTTCTTTCCAGGTTTATTGGATGCTAGGCTCCATAGATTGTCTAGATGATTTACTAAGAGCTGGCATAACATTAGCCGAAAGTGTGGTAGTTGTAAATAAAGAACTATCAAATTCAGCCGAAGAAGATTCACTGGCAGATTGTAATACTATAGTGGCCGTTCAGACTATGTTCAAGTAATTTACACATTTAAAAAACCTTAGACAATAAAATATATTTATTAACATTACTTTAACTCTTTTTTATAGATTTTTTCCTAGCATTAAGAGTATTACAGAATTGTCACAGAGTTCCAATATGCGTTTTATGCAATTTAGAGCTCATGATAAATACGCTTTACATCTAAGTAAAATGGAAAAGGTAAGAAAGACCATTGTTAAGTTAAAACCATAAAACAAATTCTCTTGATTTGTTTTCACTTCCGTTTCAGCGGGAGAAGGAACGTGGCTCTCATATATCATATATGTTTCGTTTGCCCTTCGCTGCCGGTGCCGTATTTAGTGCCTCAATGTTGGATACCTTACTCTATCAAGCATTTGTCAAGGATTATGTCATAACTTTTGTAAGACTATTATTAGGTATAGATCAGGCACCGGGTAGTGGTTTTCTAACATCGGTAGGTGTAACAGGAAATCAAAAGTTTTATAAATATTTTGTTTAATTTGCTCTATTCGTTTTATGTTTTCCTAGATGCGCATTACCAAAGATGACATGTGGATACGTACATATGGCCGTTTATATCAGAAATTATGCTCGACCACTTGCGAAATACCAATTGGCATATATCGTACTCAGGATACTTCCAATACGGAAGCAACACATGTGAGTAATTCACCTGTAGACAAATGGGGACCATTTTCAGCTTTCGGAAAGCACTGTGTGCGCTTGCGACCATCGGTGAGTCCAAGTTAAATACAATAAAAACAAATAAATACCAACTAAAATGCAATACAATCCAATACTACTAAATAATACTAACTATAACTATTAAATTCAATTAAATTAAATCTTAAGAAAAAAAATTCTAAAGAAAAAAACCCACTAGTACGCAAAATAAATTTAAAAAGAAATTGAAATTGTTTAACTCTCTAACTCGCTCTCTCTTTCTCTACACTATAATACACGACCACCCACCTCTACACATTGACATACACATATAAATACACCTCTAACTCACAATTTTTTCTTAAATCACCTTTGTTTTTTTACTTTTTTCAAAGTTTTACTCATTTTAAGTAAATATTTAAATAAATTTGAGTGAATTTTAAGAAATATGTTTAAGCACAACTTAATCGAATAAAGTCGTAATTTTAAATAGGAATTTCTAATTGAGATTTTAAAAAAATTCCTTCCCTGGAGTTTTAAAATTTAAGAATATTACATTAATCTTGAATAAAAAATCATAACAATTTCAAATTCTATACAATTGTATTTCTGAATTTGTTAATCGCCTGCCGTTACGCTGCCGCTTTTGTTGTGTTTATACTTATTTCATATATAGTTAGGATTTCGGTAGATTTTTTAAATAGAAAATAGTTTATTATAGGAATAAGTTTAGGTATTAGAATCTTTGTAAAATCTAGAAATTTTTTTTTACCAAAATGCAAAATAGGTATTAATTTCAATTACAAATTGCTTTAATTGATTTACACTAAATTTAATCAGAATTTTATGTCCAAATTTTTATAATTTTTTAATGTATGTTGTTGTATTTTTTATTATTTTTTGAGAAATTGCTTTTAAATTTAAAAGTGAAAAAATCCGTTCCAAAAACTTCCCGAACTTTTTAAATTTCAAATGAAATTGTTCTAATGTACATAAACTATTTTTATAATATGACCTATTATAGTCTCATAATCGAGAGACTATAAACGAGAACCTATAGTCTTTATAGTCGAGAGATTATAGTCAATAAAGGCGAGAGACTATAGTCTCTATAGCCGAGAGACTATAGTCTCTATAGCCGAGAGACTATAGTCTCTATAGCCGAGAGACTATAGTCTCTTTAGCCGAGAGACTATAGTCTCTATAGTCGAGAGACTATAGTTTCTTAGTCGAGAGACTATAGTTTCTTTGTCGAGAGACTATAGTCTCTTAGTCCAGAGACTGTAGTCTTTTTAAACGAGAACCTACATATAGTCTTTATATATATATTATAGTCTTCATAGTCGAGAGACTATAGTCACTAAAGAAGAGAGACTATAGTATCTATAGACGAGAGACTATAGTCCCTATATTCGAGTCCCTGTAGTATCTATAGCGGAGAGATTATAGTATCTATAGACAAGAGACTATAGCATCTATAGTCGAGGCACTAAAGTTTCTATAGTCGAGAGTCTCTATAGTTTATAGACCATTGTTTCTATACTCGAGAGACTATAGCCTCTATAGTCAATAGACTATACTTTCTATAGTGGAATGACTATAGTCTCTATAGTCGAGAGACTATAGTATTTATAAACAAGAACCTATAGTCTTTATAGTCAAGAGATTATAGTCTTCATAGTTGAGACACTATAGTCTTCATAGAGAGACTGTAGTCACTAAAGGAGGGAGACTATAGATTCTATAGTGGAGAGACTAAAGTATCTACAGACGAGAGATCATAGTATCAATAGGCTAGACACTATAGTCTCTATAGTCGAGGCACTAAAGATTCTATAGCACTAAAGATTCTATAACCCAGAGACTATTGTCTCTATAATCGAGAGACTACAGTTTCAATAGTCGAGAATCTATAGTTTCTATAGTCGAGACACTATAATATCTATAGCTGAGAGCCTATAGTTTCTATAGTCGACACACTATAGTATCAACAGCTAAGAGACTAGAGTTGAGCCACTTTAGTATCTATAGTCGATAAACTATAGTTTCTATGGTCGAGAGTCTATAGTTTCAATAGTCGAGTGACTATAGTTTCTATAGTCGAAAGACTACAGTTTCTATAGTTGAGAGACTATAGTCTCTATAGCCGAGAATCTATAGTCTCCATAGTCGGGAAACTATAGTATATATTATCGGAAGACTATAGTTTCTATAGTAGAAAGACTATAGTCTCTATAGTCGAGACACTATTCTTTCTATAGTCGATAAACTATAGTTTCTATAGTCGACAGTCTATAGTTTCTATAAACGAGAGACTATAGTCTCCATAGTCGAGGAACTATGGTATCTATAGTCGAGAAACTATAGTCTATATAGTCAAGAGACTCTAGTTAAAAGACTCTAAAGTAATCAGCATACTATAGTTACTATTTTCTATAGTCTAGTGTCTAGACACTAAAGTCTATATAATCAAAGTTAGAAGTTAAAGCCTCTATAGTCTTATAAGGTAGTCGAAAGTCAATAACCTCTTTAGTTCAGAAAATTTTGTCGAAATACTATACTTCCTATAATTCAGAGTCTGCTATATATAAAGTCGAGACATCTTTAAAGTGTTCAGATCGATTCCGATATATCAATTTCTGCTCTAGATCGAGGTAGCTTATACGAATTTACATTATCTTCAATACTATTGAGATACGTTTAGCAGCAGAGTTTTAAAAACTTTCGAAATAACAATATAAATTCGGATAATGTCTGTGACCTTGACCTTATTTCGTTTTAACAAACTTATGTCTTCTCTTTAAACGAAAATGTCTGAAATATTATGATTTTACAATGTAATATACATATTTTTTTAAAGACTATGTAATCCCACTACAAATTTTCTATTGTTTAAACTTAAAACTTTGTATTTTTATCTTTTTATTATACAACTTTTATTTCCGTTTGTTTTCTCTTTTATTCTTTAATTTTCTTGGCATTTTTGTATGCAGTATTCTTTTTTGTAAATTGTTAAGATATTATAAAAAAAAAGTATGTAAATATGTATGAATTATACTCAAGAGTCTTGTACTCATACAAGGACATACACATATATGTATGTATAACTTTGCAATTACAAGTGTATGCATGTATATTAGGATGGTTATTAGAGAGGTTTCAGAGTAGTGACGGGCTTCATTGGATCCATAATTTATGTTGAATAAGTAGTATTTTCTAAATCGGAAATTTCCGAAAAGTATATTCTATGCTAACGGATGATCTAATTGATATTGCCTGAGTATCATTATTCTAAACTTCTGTAGTAAAGAACTGTTCTTGTGAAAGTGTCTTCTATGAGACAGTTTTTCAAGTGTTGAAAGATTATTCAGACAGACCGATCAAAAAGTGAACTAAATAAACTGCCATCCAAATGAACTCTAAACTTTGAAATGAATACCAAAAGGATACCATCCTAATTCACATACATACATGTCCTTGTCATAATGATTTTTCTAAAACATTCTTAAATCAATTAAAACAATTAAAATTGAAGGAATAGAACTAGACTTAGATATCTGATTTAGGTTATACTATTGTTTTTGTAGTGTTTTCTGTATCCTTTTTTTCTATTACTTTTTCATTTTAGTACTTTTATGTCCTTTTTTATACTTTTGTATGTATTATTTTCACAAAATTGACTTTGTATTTTTGGTTTTATCAACTCCCTCCCCCCAAAAAAATGCTTTAAATTTTTCGCAAAATTTATATCTTTTGTCTCTTTGTAAATCTCTTAAATCAAGTATGAAACTTTGCTTATGATACAAATTTAGCCTGTATTGTAATTTACTTTTTCATAAAACAAAAGATATCTATTTTTTTTTATTCTTCTATTTCTTCGTATGTAATATTGTGTAAATGCTTTAATATATATCTATTTAAACTTCTTTTATATTTATGATCAAAAAATATAATTCATATAATTGCTAAGTTTTACTTAACTTACTACTACTTCTTTCAACAGATATTACGAAATATTTCCAGTTTAAATTTATAAAGGGCACGCTTTTGAAATTGTTTTATTAAAATTGTAAATTATGTTTTTCTTTTATTACTTACACCACTGTGCACGAAGGCCTAGAAAAAATTCTCAGTCTAGATTTAGCTGACGTTTTAAGCGCCGTCGATATGAACAAGCCGCCGACCAAACATTGTCGAGCCGCCGTCACCTATCATTTTTCATCGGCTTGTATCTCTGGAGGTGGAGTTTAGTTCAATGGCCAATGTATTGTTTTGACCCTGTTCAGAACCTTCCAGTTCTATTTAGGGTTACACTCAGAATTTTATCTGCTTGTTCTTTCTCTCTTCCTCGAAAATATTATTTTCGGTTTCAAGCTTAGATTACGTGCATTTTGAAGGCTTATACCTCTCTCTGTTGTGGAGCTTAAGTTGTTTATGATCAACTCCACAGTTACAACATAATCTTTTCGTCCGTAGTCGTGTTTTTGGCGAAGATCCCAATAACGCTTCATCACCATCATTTGATACATTAAGGACCTGCCCACCGACCTTATATAGGTGTATTCGACCTGGAGCTTAAGTTGTTTATGGGCAACTCCACAGTTACAACTTAATCTTTTCGTCCATAGTCGTGTTTTTGGCGAAGATCACAATAATGCTTCATTTCCATCATTTGATACATTAGGGACCTGTCCTCCGACCTTATACAGATGAATTCGAGTTAATCGCAATTAGATCTTTGTTAACTGCACATTACTAAGTCGGCTAAAATTTTTAGCATATTTAAGTTACATTCAAGAGCAATTTACTTCGGTCCACTACATCACTGATACTATATGGATACGCTAGGGTGTAAAATACAGGCAATATTTAATGCTTCTAAATGAAACCCAGTTTCTCTGATTAAGTTTAAATGACATTTATTGTTCTCGGCAAATGTCGTGAAATAGCAAAGAAAGTGAGACACTGCCTCTTTCTTCTGCTTCTCGTTGTTTCTAAATAAAACAGTATTATTTGCTATCTATAGGAACTTATAAATAAGTTTGGATTTGATAGATAATACAGGAGTCTAG